TCTCACTAAACAACTGTTAAAAAACTAGTTTCATATTAAAAGCCACATTATTAACAAGCTTACTCAAGTCAGGGGTGAGAGAAGAGGGATTATTATCAGCTGTTTACAGTCAAACATACAACAAAAGTAGAAAATTGTGACTCACTGGAGCATAGACACCAGTAATGAAGCCAGATTAACAGTTTAAAGATTGTACAAACTGCCATATAATTCTTGTTCTAGGATTAAACAGAATTATGGCTTGCAGCTTATCAGTAGGAGATTGCATTATAGCACACATGCAATAAGAAAGCCGTGCATTTAGGTAGCAGACACAGATTCAAGCAAAAGCGATAAAATGCTAAAATGTTCTATTTTCTAAAGCCAAGTCAGAGTTTTTTCCTGATAAAGACAATTTGCCACTTTTCTGAACAGCTAGTTGTTTCCCTTCATGAGAATTTTCCTTGACTTTACAAACTCTGATTGCCAATGAAGGTAAGATCAGTGGCGCCCGATGGGGTGGCCAGGGGTAGCCACCCCCTAGAAAATTGCAGGCCACCCCAGGGAACACCAGTGTAAGTCATATTAATGTTCACACAAACCATAAACTTGTCTTAGTTAATGAAGACATACAGGTGAAACTCGAAAAATTTGAATATGATGTAAAAGCCCAGCGCTTTGGGCTTCCTGACAGGGTTGCGGAAGGCGCTTTATAAATAAAGCTTTGATTGATTGATTGATAAAAGTCAGTTTATGTTGGCAATTCACCTTAGACTGAGAGACCATCTAAAGGTAGCTGATGAGTGTGTTAGAAAGTGTACACAGTCTGTCTCCTTCATGCTGAAAGAAAACATTTGTTAGTCACACTAGTTCGAACCATCACATTAACACTTGATCTGATAATAAAGAAATAAGTAAATATTGAAACAAAAGAAAATAATGAATAAATTCAACACTTGACACTTTGAGCCTAGAATATGGAACCTTTTCACAATATTCCCATTGTCTGAGATTTTGAGTTTGGGTTTTAATAAGGTGTAAGCCATAATCATCACAATTATAACAAATACATCTTTCTGTTTTAGGGTAATCTTACATATGTGTTTTGGGTGCTTTTTAAGCTTAATATACTACACTACATTTGACCAATAAGATGTGAAGTTCTATATAAATATGGAAATCCAGTCTGATTGGTCTTTGAATGTTTAACCAGAAGATTTAGAATTCTTAGTTTATTCTGGGATAGTAAGACACTTTGTATTAATTCAGAGAGAGTCAAGTTTATAAAAAGTAACAAATTTATTTTCTAAACAATTAAAAACATGACAACTAGGAAACACTTTATGTGATAAATGAATCTAAGTGGATGGAATGTGAGGTGTGATGATGTGTGAAGGTGATGTTATCAGAACCTTTGTATCTGGAGAAACTGAGTTCTGAGTGGGAGTGAATTTGGTCTGCTATAAACTACAAATGATTTCTAATAACAGCATCAGACGCAATCTTGTCGTGTCTACTTACCCTTATCGGAGACTCTCTTTTGGATCTGAGATGTGGGGGAGTCCGTGGACTCCACGGTACCGAAGTTCGTAGAGAAACCGCAGTATGACCAGGTCAGTCCAAAGTCGTCTCCAGGTCACGACAACCAGGTGGACTTGTTTTGCATCTATGGAAGGACTCTTAGAGAGTCTGAGCTGTGTCAGCTTTGTTCTGAAGGAACCGTTTGCGGGCAGCTGTAGCGCGCAACAGGTTTTGACAGCTTGTCAAAAGATGCAATGGGAGAAGAGGCTTCCTCCGATGGCCAGTCAGAGTTGGGCTCAACTAGCTCACTCAGCAAGTGATTCTGTTTTAATAACGGCCATATTTTGGTTTACTGACAAATCAGAACTTGCCATGAAAATGGGTTTTGCCAAAAAACCTCAGATGCACACCTCCCTCAGATATGAAGATGCTAATTTTGTGGATAAGAAAATATCTATGTGCAGTGACGTTAATTTTAACTTGCGTCATGGAGATATGGTGAGTGTGTCTTGTCCAGTCACGTACGCTGATTAAATATATACAGTAGGTCATATATTTCATTTCATCCCTATTAATCTAAGCACAGATTAATCAAAACATTTCATTTAACTATAACGTTCATTTCATTGTATGATTTAATTATGAAAGTTCATCCTTCTTGTTCTATAAAGCAAAGCAGTCTTAGATAAGAGGGAGCTTGTGAGGGACCTTGGGCTAACAACAGTATCCTTCTTGCAGATTAAAGGCACCAGTTAAGACTTATGTCTCCAAATGACCAGATACTGAAGAGGTCACACTGTGGATGAAAAACTGACCATTTCTGGAGGCTACACTGTTAAAAGGGAGTTTTTCTCTCTACTGTTGCTGCGTGCTTGCTTAGTATGAGGATTGCTGTAAAGACTCTGACACTAGTCAGTGACTCGATGCAATTTGCTGGGTTCCTTATATAGGAAACGTTTTGCTGATTGGCTTAATGATCAGGGGCCTCATTTATCAAGCTTGCTTACGCACAAAACGGGGTCGGAAAACTGCTTAAGCAACTTTTCACACAAACTTTGGGATTTATGAAAGAAAACTTAGCGGAAAAATGTGAGCAACTTTAAGTTGACTAAGGACCTGGCTTACCCACATTTTGGACATGGAGAGCACCTGCAGTGCTGCTGCTGAGAAGGATAACATTATGAAATCCTGCAGCATTATCACTTGTACTGCTTCGTTTTCACACGGAACAAGACCCCCACACGCACACACACGCGCGCAAACACACATGCGCACACACTCACACACACAGCCTGAAGCGCAGAATACAGAATATCAGCAGGGGGACAGATAGAGACAGAATGTCATGCGTCTGTGACAGTGTGTGTCCTGTCACTGTGACCCGAATGATCATATGCCCTGGCTTCTTGGACAGGAGAGATCTCTGTTTGGCTGACTGGTTAGCGTGCGTGACTTTCACCTGGGAGTCTGGGGATCGAATCCCATTTGGACCATTTTTTTTATATCCGCCACAGATCTCTCTGAAGAATTCACAACATTGACGGCTTCAGCACTCCATGGATTTTCTCTTATTTGTTTTGCAAAAGCACTTCCTTTCATTTCTCCACCTCACCACAGGTTTCAATTTCTGCTTCTGTGAAATTGCGCCTCCTTGATCTGCCTTGATCTACGGTCGCCATCGTCATTGGTGGAGCGCTGCAACAGCCGGCATATGTATATGCATGAGATCCACAAGGCACTTTGCATTGACTATTTATGGCAGTAAGTGGGCGTGGTGAGGGCGGGATGTGACTAAAATGCAGCTGAGAACCATTCTCATTAGTCTCCAATTTTTGAAGCGGAGATTGCGTGCAGCTGTGCGTACTCCATGTTTGATAGTTCACAAACCTACTTGGCTTAAGTACATTTTTTTTGCTGAGCTTGAGTACGGTTTTAGTAAGGATTCTACGCAATGTTTGATAAATGAGACCCCTGAACTGTATCTGAAAGGTTTACTTTGTGAAGTGCCTTGAGACGACTCTTGTCATGATTTGGCCCTAATTCAATGTGCTACTTTGATTTTTACAAGAATATTTTGCCTCTGAAGAATTTATATACGTAAGGAGTAGATCAAATACATAAATAAATAAGATCTGGTAAATAATGTTTTCTAAGATGATGTTTTGTCGGACAATAAATCTGCTTAATACTTTTTTTTCTGCATCAGATGGACTTGTTTCAAATACCACAATGAAAATGTTTTTGTTTTAATAAGGATTATTGTTGTTTTTTCCCCTGCATCATCTTCATCTCTAATAATCCCTGGCAGCATGTCAACCTTTTTGGAAATTAGGTGCTGCACAGCTTTGTGCTGGATGGAGAATGAGATCGGCTGTGGTATTCTGTAATGCAGTGACAGAGCTGGGAGAAAGGTTTGCACCGTGGGGATTAAGGGCACTGGAACACAAATGAAAGAAAGAAAGGAAAAAATAAAGCCTCTAGTATTAGAGCGGTGGTATTTCTCTCACAGAGACATTATCTGACCGGACTGTCATGAAAAACCACACACCTCCAGCTTCGTGTTAGAGCTCCGTCATCTAAAGCTTTGCTTTTTAAAACCTTCAACAGAATTTCTTCATCTGAAATTTGTTCATCGAGGACCGTCTACTTCTGCTCTTTCTCCAGGAACGATCACACGTCTTTGACACAAAGATCTCAAAAGTGTTGCATTCCCTACTTGATTGGAGGATTTATATTATTTTCTTTTGTTTTTGAGGATTTGATGTGAAGCCATGATTCCTCCTAAACTGCTTGTGTACCGTCGCACTCACTGTGATGTTAATTTAGAGAACCTCCAGGAAACATGGAGGCGGAAGAAATCTTGTGGAGACCTGTTTCAGAATGGGTACAGGGTGAGGCAGGGCCATCGCGGACGCAGGGACAGGGGGAGTGAAACTGGGTTTTACCACTCAGTCTGGTCCTGTTTACACATTCTCTCTAACTGGGGTAAGAGCTTTGGTGTTCATCTAGAGGTGTATGAAGACAGACTAAACTGCTAGGAGAACATTTTATAATGAGGATAAAAAGAAATATGTAAAATGTCAGATATTCTCATACAAACAGAGAACAAAGATGGGCGTGCAGTTGTTTTAGGGGATCTATGTTACATAAAAAGACAACAAAGCTGATGTCATATTGTTCTGTAATCCCTCAAGAGAGCTGTTTTTGGATTCAGGCCAAAGCTCGCTTTACATAAGTCCAACCAACTTATTTGATTGTTTGAACACTTCGGCCTCTTTAATAAAAACACATTTTCATCTGTTTGTGTCCACTTACCCTAAATGTAAGGTGTTTTCTATTATTTTCTGAAAAATATGTGTCATGTTGTCAAACAACAATTGCCTCTAACATTTTCATTTCCTACAAAAAATCCATTTAATATTTTGTTTAAATGCATAATTATTACTTATACACATGACATGCTAATCCTATTCCCTGTCTGTGTCTTGTTCTTCTCACAGGTTTAAGGTTTCTGAGGGCACTGAGACTGATTCAATTCTCTGAAATTTTACAGTTCTTAAATATTTTGAAAACAAGGTAAGAATTAATAGTGAAAAACTCTTTAAAGTTCATGTTCATCATAAATCCCTCTTTGTTACTGCCTGCAGTAGGAATGTCTGGGTACTTGCATATTTTTCTGTTACTCCAGACTTCTTGCATATCTATATAGAAAAACACACTTTTTGTAGCATGTTCTGTACAAATTCAGCATACTAAGAGGAGTTCAGATTTTATTTTTTATTTTCTTACAAGCTTTCTCTCATTTGTTGCAGCTTTTAAGGTTTTTGTGAGTTTTATGTCCGATTGATATCTGCTTTTAGTCACAAACAAAGCTCAGTGTTTTTGTAACTATGATCAAATTCTTCTTCTAACCAGCAATTCCATCAAGCTGGTGAACTTGTGTTCCATCTTCATAAGCACATGGCTTACAGCGGCTGGGTTCATACATTTGGTAAGTGCATATTTGTGTTAAAGGTGCAATATGTAAGAATTCTACAGTCAAATAATCACAAAGCAGTCTGTTTCTATCATGTTGAAAAAAAATGTTACATTCAAACAGATTTTATTCTCAGCTGGCTGGGGGGTGGGGGTGGGGGGGTCAGTTTTTCTCCTTTCAAAAAACGACAATGCAGTTATTGTTTACAATCGGTGAGCCCATGAAGTTGCCAAGTCTGAGCGGAGCTAACGTTGCATTTGTAATTCCACACCAGCAGGGAAAAAGCTCCAGAGTTGTTTAAAGAACCAAAGCCAGTAAACAGGTGTGACCCGAAAGTTATTCCTTGTATCCGTAAGAAGCCATCTTTATGTTTTATTCTATTTGGTTAAAGAAGGCTAGAGGCTAACGTTGATCTAACAATACTAATGGTGAATTAGAAGCAAATAGTCAGCTCTAAAAAATCCCTACAACTTGGCAGTGAGAAAGTGACATTTTGTTTAGAAAAAGAGACTGCAGTAACCAAATGTGACCACAGGATGTCATTCTCACGTCATTGTTACATATTGCACCTTTACGTCCCACCAGAAATGAGATTTCTGACTGATAAACTGCAAACATTGTTACACAAATAGTTTTACAGTTCCCTGTTATTTTCTTAACTCTCCCACTGTCCTAATGGGTGACCCCGCGAGGAAAGTTGACCATTGAGCAGTGTTGGTGATTTATCCCTTGAGGCCCACTTGGCAGGGGTACGGTGGTGCTCACTCCTCACCCCTGCCACATGGACCTCAAGGTATAAACCATCAACCCTACCCAATGGTCAACTTTCCTCATGGGGTCATCCATTAAGACAGTGGGAGGGTTATATGTAATCAGAAGTAGTTCATACATGCAACAAAGTAGATTAAAACCATTATTTAGGGCATATTATTTTTTTGTCCAGTAAAGTAAACATCAGATTTTCAGTGTTTCAGTATTTTCTGACAGAAAACATATTTGTAAACCATTTGTGAATGTCGTTTCCAGTCAGCTGATAAAAAGGATGTTTTCATATTTCCCAGTTTGTTCATCTTTTAATATGGAATGCATGACTGGTAATGTTGATGTCCTGCTTTAGAGAAAAGTGACTGCTTCTTAGCACATTTAGCACAAAAGAGGAACTAAGGTGTTTTGTTAGTGCTTTTTGAATTAGATGAAGGTGCAAAACCTCAAATTGCACCTGCAATTGAAATGCAATCCTTTGTTGAATTTGGGCCTGAGGGTTAGGGTTAGGTCCCTAACCCTACCCGTAACCTGCAATTGCCCTCTTCAAGGTAGGTTAAATTTAAATGAAGCATGCAGTAATAGTTCATGTTATGGGTGTTTTAATTTAAAATGTGTGGCAGTTATTTAACATTTGATAAAAGCTCTGATTGTGGTTCAAACTTCCTCAGTTTCCGTGTCAGATCTCCTCACTAGGAACTGTTTATAACTGACTGTGAGCTTTAGTTGTTGTTCATTTCTTTTACAACCTGTATCTTGTGACTTATTCAAACACATGTGGAGTACTAGTTAGTTTGACCACTAGATGGTAGTCAAAGCTTAAAATATGGCTAAAACATATAACAGAATACTAGAACAGCTCCACCTGGAAATGTTTATCCAAATTTTCTTTCAAACAGTTCCTCATAAAAATCGGTGTTTATAAACGCTTGCTAAATGTCGTGTCTTCTCTCCGTGTTGTGCCTATTTCTGATGTAGGTGGAAAACTCAGGGGACCCCTGGGAAGACTTCAAAAACTCCCAGACGTTGTCTTACTGGGAATGTGTCTATTTGCTGATGGTGACTATGTCCACAGTGGGCTACGGGGACGTCTATGCAAAAACCACCTTGGGCCGCTTATTTATGGTCTTCTTCATCCTCGGCGGTTTGGTAAAGTCAAATTTTTATTCCTGCCCATGCGGACCTTCTCCCACTGTTACATTCTGTCTGTTGCTATTAACAGACTGTACGAACTTGCTAAAATCCATTATAATTACAAGAAAATGCTAATTATCTTACTGCATGATGTAGCGTTTTAAATATTTTTAAATTGTTACCTTCTCCTGTACATGTTATTTCTTTGCTACAGTGTAACCTCCTGTTTGGCCTCCTGTATCTTGTCTACTGTGGTTCCAGGTCTCTGTGTCCCTTGGTCCTTGTCTCCTCACATGTCCCTCCTGTATTTAATGGATTAGAGAATATGAGTTGTATGATAATGCTGTCACTGTTCTCTTAAAAGCAGTTGCGGTTTCAGGACACCCCTCCTTCCGTGTCTCCTCCCACAATTCCAACAAACACAGGGGCAGGGCGATGAGGCTTAGGCCAGCCTGACTGTTACCATAGCAACAGCAGCCTCCCACTCCCTCTCTGTCACCTTACTGTGATGTAGCATCCTGTTGGGTTGCCATGAGCGCATTAACTTACACGCGAGCATGCATGATTGCACACACACACCTGTGACAAACACACACACACACACACACACACACACAGAGGATTTGGTCCAGTCACAGCTGGTATATTCTGTGTTTGGACTCCAGTCTGTATGGTGATTACCTGCAGCTGTGTGATCCTGTATTGCTTTGTGATCATGTTGATAGATGCCTTTCTCTCTAGTGCCGAGAGCTCTGGAAGTCTTTATGTAAGCACCTTAGCCTGCTTTCTGTCTGCAGCGCTGGCAGAATAATGATTTCAGGCTGAAGGTATTTTAAGTCCAAACTCATAAAACATCAAACATTCCCATATACAGATGGACTTTTTACGAATTCTGTAATCTAATTAATAACAAACTAGTATTTCTTGAAGGATTGCAGAACATCTTTCATACCAGAGTTTTAAAACACGATTTAAAATTGACAAATGATAGAGTTATATGCATTTTGGTAAAATCTTGAATCTATTATGTGTGATCACAAGCTCTTATGTAATCATTAAAGTCCCGTAGTCATCCTCACACACTGGTGAAATGACTTTCTGGTGAAATGACTGCATTTGACCCATCCCTGTGAGGATCGGTGAGCTGCAGCTGTGACTGTGCTCGGGGACTCTATGGTGGCTTAAACCAAGCCAATCAAAACACAAATAAGGATCCCCCTCAGCAACTACCTACCTACATGCCCAGCCAGACTCCTTTAAAAGTGACTTTGCTGCATTAAAGACACGTTCCTGAATTCTGCGGATATATGCTCTCTGTCGCCCTCTCAAGGCTTGCTGCGTAACGTCAATGTTGTAAAATCAAATCTGACAGTCGCACATGTTAACTGGCTGTTTTCCAACTCGCGTGCCCCAACCAACACATTTAGCGGCGTTTCAACATTGAATTGCGTTTTATCAGGACTGTATAACAACTTTATGACCGACCAAACACAATGATGGTTAAATCATTTATTACTTACCTATCCATTAGCTGCACGGCTAGGTGGGTGTTCTTGCACTGCCATAGTGGCTGGCTGCTATTTTAGATGGGCCTCCATTCGCCCACGGTCCATTAATTTCTACTTAAAGAGGTGCCGCACAACTAAAAAAACACATTATATCAAACTTTTTCTCAAAATCAGACACAAGTTGCTCACTCTAAAATAACTTTGGTCTTTTCTACAGTCACTGCTTTGGAGAGTGAGACCCATCCAGCGACGCAGATACGCCATCCAGCGCCCAATGAGACATTTATGTATTCATGTCTATGGGGTCTACATGATACTGCTGTAAATCAACACACAGTACTTGTGGCGGTGGACTGTGGATCAAAGATGGTATAACGCGTAAAACGGACGTGGAAACCCATAACACTATCACAGCTCTGAAAATGAACATAATAGATGACAGTATGCCACATAAACTAAAAAAAAAAAAAAAACATTACTTAAGGTGTAAAAGTTGCGGAATGGGTCTTTAAACAGGAATCCCAAACACAGTTTATCAACATAAGGAACAAGTTGGAATGTGTACATTTAAACACAAAACCTAACCCTCTGATCAAAGGCCGCGACTCTTTGCAAAATGCATCCAGCTCATTTCCTCTGCCAAAAAATGAGTCTTAATGTGTTTTGCAGCTGTGGACCATCAGGTGGGGCTATTCACATCAACCTGCCAGATCATCTGTGTTTGTTGGACAAAACATGGCACATAGGGTTGGATTTTCCCTTCAACACTCTGCTAGCCACAAAGGTTTTGAGAGCGATCACAAACATGTAAATTCTTACACGCTAAGGATACTCACCCCTGAAGCCTTGTCTTTAAAATAAACAACATTACTCTCTCATCCCCAGCGTTCTTCTGCAGACAACGAGAGAGGCTTTTTTCAACCTTTAACTTTTCTGATGAACTAAAAAGAAAAACCAAACAGGAATTCGGATTCATGCGCTAGGTTCTCGACAGCCCACTCAACAACACAGTAGTCTCTTTTTTAGATTCTTCTTCTGTCTTCTATCTTCTCCTTAGGCCATGTTTGCCAGCTACGTCCCTGAAATCATAGAGTTAATAGGAAACCGCAAGAAATATGGTGGTACCTATAGTGCGGTTAATGGGAGAAAGTAAGTATTCCAGATGGTTCTGCTGTTTTCTGTGTGCAGTAGAACCCTCTCTGCATGCCTTTTTCTTTTTTTTCTGTTCCATGCATGTAGGCCATGTTTGCTCGCTACGTGCCAGAAATTGCTGCTCTCATCCTTAATCGGAAGAAATTCGGAGGGAGTTATAACTCGACTCGAGGCAGAAAGTAAGTTGAAATCCAGACAAGGTGTGGTTGTGTGACTCAAATGCACCCCCCCTTTTCTAAGTTGATAGGCACCGGGGGTTATTTACCTTTTTGAATGGTAAACTCAGAGTAAAGTTGAAGTACGTAATGTCACACTGCGTGACTGGAGACCTTGGCCATTAGGACACATGTCCACGCCTCATCCTTTCACTCTTTCAGTCCTTCTCAAAGCTTTTCTTAATCTGCTTCTAACTGTCCTTCATTTTGAGCTTTCCTGAAGTCATTTTTGTGCTGACCATTTTCTTTTCACCATCCTTTACACATCCTGTGTTGCGCTTTAATTTGGTTTGGAATATAGAGCTTTCATGACTATTACACATTTTTAGATCTAAAATGTAATGTGTCCAAAGCTGCACAGCCAAAACAGCCATGTTTGTAGGTAAAGTCATGAAATCCCTACTGTCCTCTTGAAACGATTTTCCTGCAAGAGCTTAGAAAGATTCAGACATCTGCAAGAGCATTATTATTGGTGGTTCTTTTAAGCATCATCAATCCCAATGACCATTGCAGGATTCGAATTTTTATTTATTTATAAAATGTTTGCTTGTTTTGCTCAAATTACTTTTGCATGCCCTACATTTTCTCCAGACCTGCACCATATCTGAGTTCTTCTTATTAACCTGCAGTACTGTGGCTTTTTCATTGACCACAAACTCAGTGAAAAAGTCCTCCTTTCTGTTGTTTGTCACCGCTAGCACATTGCATCACCTATGCATGACATTACTCTGGCCCTGATCTTCAGTCAGCTCCCACACCCTGAATGCTGGATGCCTCGCTTCCACTGGAGGCTCTCAATTGCTTTTTCTGCTTGCTTCGCCTGCTTGCTGCTCGCCTGGTCCTTGTGTCGGTGTGAAGTTTGGCCCTTTTGTGCAGTTTAGCCTCCTGCTGCAGAGGCTCCAGTGGATTGTAGAGCTTGTGTGATTTTGGTCAGTCTGCTGTTTGTGCAAGAAAATCACAATTCACATTGTGAACCGCTTCCTTATCCCCTTGTGGCTCAAATTTTACTAATATTCAGCACAAAATATTTATTTCAATCTAAAGGTTCAGGGCATACAGCGTAGCTCTTTTTTCCTCTTCTTTTTAGTCTAATTTTCTGCGACACTTGGCAACTGCCTCTATTTGCTGTCTTCTTTCTCTGGCTCTTTTCCAATCTTGCTCCCATCAGTTTCAGACACATTCGGTGGAGTCAGCAGCAGGAGAAGGCTTTCAAAAAAAGCCTTTGTTCAATAATGTTTGCCTGTCATGGAGATAAGATTGATGAAATGTTGTGTTTAGCCAGTGACTCCGGCCCAGACTCACAGAAAGGTGCTGAGAGAAGCCCTTGTCAAAACTGAGAATAGTTTCTCTCTCTTTCACACATGAGTTTTCTCCCTCTACACCCGCTTTCCTCTCCCCTCCTTCTGTTTGGACAGATGGTATCAATCATAAAATACCACCAAACACACAATCTGAGCTCAGAGGAGCTCCGAGCTTTTGCATATCCATTTAGAAATGTGTATGATCTGACTCATATTAAAAACGGTTTAAGGTTTAATTGTGTTGCGGGACCAGTGCATTATCTTCTAGGCGCTGTCAACACACGGGAAAGCATCATGGAAACAAGATTAGCAGATTACAAGTAACTGACTGATTACAAAGCTTTGGATTGATGAGGTCATTGTGAATTATTTTAAACCATTTCCCTGGCTGCTGTCATTTAAAACAAACCTTTGAGGTTATTTGGAAGTGAAAGGGACTGGGTTTATGTTTCGTGCTAGAGCATACGCCCAACAGAAAAGTGACTGCTCTCATCCAGTGGACGCCGATACAGTAATGACAAGTGTTATGTTCTGTTGGCGCCCGCTGAACTTGGCGCCCTGTGGTTTTCATTATGACTCCATGGTTTCCATTAGCCCCAATTTCAGCCGAGGGGCTGGCACGGAGACTGACTTCAACCCTGGCTGAACTCCGGTGTGGACTTTTGAAAGTTCTTTTTGAGGGTTAGCAACTTGAAGTGTGCAGATGCCAGATATGTGCCTACGATCAGATATAAACGCACAGACCTATTGATATACAAGTTGCAGGTTTCAGCATTTAAAATCTTTATTCAGGTACCTAAAACTATATAATTGAAGCTAGCAGTGGCTCAGCGCAGCGCTTGCACAGGAATTATAACATTTTAATGATGGGATTTAGGGGAAGCTTCAGCACTGACCTAAGGATTAGAGCAGTTGCAAACCAGTGACCTCTGTTGCTGATATTTGAGCTCTCTGTTCTTTTGTATTCATTCCAAAAACATCCTGAATGTTGTCTGTAGGCATGAAAAGTGTGCATGCTCAGTGATAACACCTTTGCATGTATTTTTAGTGTGTTGGTTTCTTTTTTTTCCCATTTGAGTCGTTTCTCATAGATTTCTTTAAGAATATGTGCCTTGGCTTTTAATTCCTGTTTTTTGTTTCATTTAATGTAGGTTTTTAATAAAGTTTTTTTATTTGTGCTTAAGGGAATTATTACAGTAAATTATATATGGTACCCTTTCCCAATTTTCTAAATGCACCATGTTGAAATTAATATCATGGTTTGCACACAGAAGGAGGAAACGTATGGCATCAGGAGGAAATTAATTCAGATTACGGACCTGATCTGTATAGGAAATCTTATTTGCATAAAGTTTGCTATAAATGTAAATTCATGAGTCGAGAACACACATTTCAATCATTTGTTACCTTTATGTTTGCCTAAATCTATTTTTTTTTTCCTTTAAAGCATGAAGAACTTCTGAGTTAAACCAAACCAGACCTTAAACAGCCAAAGAAAGCTTAAAGCAGAAATCCAGTGTTTTTTCACTGAGGGCACCACCTAGAGGTAGAAGACTTTATTGCACATTTAAGCCCCTCCCCGTGCTTCCGTGACACAGCTGTAAGCAAAGCCTCTCATACGTGAATGCGCACCTCTAACTGAGCTAAAACACATTTTACAATTAATATTCACATGCTTTGCTGTGTACACACACACTCACACACATGATTGGGCTGCATGGTGGCGCAGTTGTTAGCACTGTTGCCTCGCAGCACGTAGGTTGCAGGTTCAAAACTCGGCTGCGGCCTTTCTGCGTGGAGTTGCGTGTTCTCCCCATGCATGTGTGGGTTTCCTCCGGGTACTCCGGTTTCCCCCACAGATCACAACATGCCCTATAGGTTATAAATTGTAAGTTGCTTTGGATAAAAGCATCTGCTAAATAAATAAACATAAACATAAACACATGCACTGGCTGTGAAGGCGGTTTTAGCTGCTCCTTTATTCGCCTTGTTTTTGTAAATGGCTCGAAAAGGCCGCCCAGGCTCTGTTATTGACATCTGTACGTAAGCAAATGTTGGTGCTGCTTGCGCTATGCTGTGGCTCTATGGGACAGGCAACAGGGTTAGCACAAAAATATCTCTACAACACGGTAAGACTATCACTCATGGATTTCTAAAAAAGTCCTACATAAATCCTGAACAGGGGAAAACTGTATTTCTGCTTTAAGTCCCATAATGCTGTGTTTCAAAAATAGCCTAAATATGACAGTGAGACAATAAAACTCCAGATGTTCTGTTATGACGTTTGTTTTTGGGTGTCACTGCCCTCATCTAGCCACTACGTTGAAAAATGTTCTGGGTGCCCCCATGATAATCTGGGGACAATCTGTAGGTAATAAAATAAATACTTGCCATTTTAATAATTGATAAAACCAAAAGTTTGCTCTTCTCTGCAACCTCTGCTGCTCGTTAAAATCTCTTAAAGGACGGACACATCTGTGAAAAACATTATGTTCTGCAAAATCCACAAGCTGTCATCCCCTCAATATGACTGTCACTTTACTTTGCCAAGTCGACGTCAGATCAATCCGGTCCCATCCATTTGGTTCATGAAGTAAACCTCTTTAATATCCGAGTTTCCTTTTAACCTGCCAGAGCAAGTTAGATGTCACTGATGTTCTGTACAGTTTCAGGCATTTTTAAAGGTTAATGTGTTCACCAGAGCTTTTTGTTTCTGTGTGTAAATGCTGTTTAATGGATTGAGGGGAACTGTTGATTAGATTTACACATTATGACCACCGAAATCTTTTTCTTTTCTTTTCTTTTTTTTATTGTAACTTAATCTAGATTGTGTTAAAGTGTTCCAGTACCCAGGCACTTTAACTAAAGTGGTTCAATTGTGTCTTGGCACATCAAGTGGTGGCTGGGGCCTTTGTCGTTCCACAGATTCTCTTACAGGTCTCCATAGAGCAATTAGGATGTCTGCTCATTGTCTACTCTAATTACTGTCAATATAAGAGCTAGATTCAATAGAAATACTTCACTTACTTTAACTTCAGCTGAGCACATCAGTTTACCTCTGAGATTAGGGTTAGGGTTAGTGTACTTAATGAAGAAAATCATCATCATTGTGCTAAGGGTGCTTCTAAAACTAATGTTAAAGGTGAAAATGTTTTTAAAATAATCTTAAAAAAGTGAAAACAGCTGCAATGTTGGTGTTAACTGAAAGGAAAGCAGATGAAAAGTTTTCAGATGCATAAAGTTCTAGAAGAACTAAATCATCATTGTTGGAAGAATGATCCCTGACATTCCATTTTTTCTAAGACAATTGTTAAACAAACAAATAAACAAACAGGTATATACAATGTGACTCAAAGGGTAAAATCATAAAGGTGTTTTATTTAGTGTAATTTTTTTTAGCACAGTCTGAGTTAAGGATCGTGTTGCACTGGGGTCATTATTTCAGGACTGGGACTTTTCCCAGACCCGCTCGGTGTAAACCAGTCAAACATTCCAAGCAGACTTTAAAGAATTTCATTCAAATCTTTATGTCACATCTGTGCATTTTTCTCCTTGTTTGCTCTTTTACTTTTTTTCTAGCAGTAAAAAAGTAAATAAAGATGGCTGACCTTTATTGTAAAGTTTCTCAGCGGCAGAATCTAACATTTTTTTATGCATAATGACCTTTTATCACCTCTTTGACTACGTCTCTGTAGCCTTTTTTGAGGTTTTAAATGCTACAGCATTTGCACATGTGCTTTTTTACCACTATGTCTTACAGCTCTACACACCTTTTTTTCTCTCAAATTATAATAATTATATTATTATAGAGACATTTTTTAATTATTTAATAAAAATAAAAAGCAAAAGGTGTAAAAAAAAACTTCAGATTTTTTTTCCTGCTTATTTTGCTCTAATAAATATAGAAAACTTAATCTGAAAACTGTGCATTTGCAGTGTATCTAACATCAAACTTTCTTAACAACTGATTTATGATCCAAAGTTTCAAAATAAAAAATAAAAATTACAGAAGCACCACAAGGTTAACTTTTGAAACAAACATGATCCAATCTGCCTAATCGAATCCTTTTAAAGTAACACTGAGCAGTTTCCAACTTCTCTGCCCTACTGGTTGAAAGTGGAATTACAACTGTCATAAACAACCCTGCAGCAGCTTGCTGTAGCTGGCGCTAACAATGAGCTAATGCTAACATGAGCCAACTCATACTAAATAAACCTCGAAATCAAAAGATCCACACTGTTGGATAAACATATTTTTGCTTACAAGTCCAGTAGCAACAAAGCCAGGTCACAATCAACCAGTGATTTCACAGCCTCCAATAGCCTCCTTTAAGAGCAAGTCACCCCCAAATCAACTTTTTTTCTGACAAACTATAAATGTGTGTCTAATCGTGCTGCAGACACGTGTAGTCAATAGTTTTGCACTTTTGTGCATTTTAGTTAAAATTTAAAATTTCTGTCTAAAACTGTCAGTGTTGTGCCGTTGTCAGGTAAAAACTCTGCACTGCATTTGAATTTAAATTTGCCATCGCTACTGGCTAAGAGGTATCTTAGAACGTTAGTTGGTACCATATGATGTCACAATGTCGTTGTGAGCCTGTGTGTGTATTTGTCAGCGGCTCTGCCCTCTCGGTCTGCTAGGCAACAGCATTTGTTGCGTTTTTCAAACAGGAAGTGGGAGCGGAGTAATATTCTGGTAGGGGATGACTTGCTCTTTAAATTAGTGTAGGCCACGCCCAGTGACATGCGATGAGGTTCATTACTGGGGAGGCACTGACTGCTCTCGAGTCATATTTACAAGTAGGCTATATGATCCTGAAATAGAAGCTTGTATTTTAATTTTGACCTTCAATGCAAAATTGTGTTGTTTTAAAAACGTCTTAGTTATTGATGTAATAAATTTCATATTGTTCAACAAAACACTAACAGGTGAAGCAAAATATTATTTAATGTTGGGCAAATTTGATGAAACATTTATTTATCAATCAAAGATCCTTTATTGATCCCAGAGGGAAATTAGAGTTAGTCTTTGGAGAGCTTATATTACTCTTGAAAATTGTCTTCATGGAGGTGATGAAACTGACATAGCCGTGCTGTGAAAATCATTGTCTGATATCTCCTGTGGGGGCAAATCTGTAAAAGATGAGGAAAGAAAAATAAACAGCACTTCATAAAGGTGAGGAGATGGGTGAAAGTGGGACAAGCAAGAGGATACCAAGCTTGTGGCAAGCCATTTTAACATTTAATCAACAAATCTGTAAATATTTATTTTATATATCAGTAATTTAATTTATCCTAGACCTAATTGTATTTTTATTAGTCAAAACTGACAATGAAGACATCAACAGCTATGATGTTACAATAGATATTATAATTAAGGATATCTATAATAACAACTGCACTAGTAAGAATTTAGATAGCTTAGAATCCCTAAAAACCCGAGGTGGCCTTTTTGCCATTTATAGGGCGGACTGGATATGTATTCCAGTTATCTACAATTCCTAGTAGAAATTAACATACCAGATTTCCGTGAGAACATTCTTACTCAATGAACACTTCAGATATCTGAATTATTCTTTCAGTTAAAAATTCTTTGATGTTATAGATATTATAACAGCGTTATAGAACATAAAAGTAAAGTCACAGTTACTTTGCTAGGTAACTAATTACTTTTACAGTGTGGTAACAGAGTTAATAACTCAATTACTTTTTGGAAAAAGTAATTTGTAACTATTACCTATTTTTTAACGTAAGATGCCAACACTGCCTGTTACAATGCCTGTCACAATGGCCTGTCCTTTGGCCGCACGTCACTGGCCACGCCGATGCTCACTATGGCTTTAGCTCTTTGCAGTTTCTCCAAAGACACGACTCTCTTACTTTAACTTCCGGGCCCCACCATGATGCCAACAAAAAAGCAAGCATCTTTCTTCTTCTTGTGTTTTTTTAATTACAGTCGGTGAACTGAAATAGCTAATTGCTACTCTATATTAGCTAACCACACAGAACTAGCTAACAGCCGTTAATCACGTAAAGAGAGCCCCCTATGCACCTGCTCACTCCACAAAACTGTTAAATGCAGTTGCTGGTCTGCAGAGGGCTGCAGAGTGCTGTCCCATGTGAAGTTGGTAAAGTTTCTACTGTCATAATCACTGAGCCCATCTGATCAGTGCAGTGCAATCAGAGGACAAACAGGGACACAACCACCACCCCCCACCCCTAAAATATAAACCCTAATGTTTAAAACTAACCCTTTCTCCCCTTCGGCAGTAATCAGCCCTGTGCCTCCTCTTACAGACCCCCCCTCCCCGTAATGTGCTGCTGAGTCTTGCCAACGAACTGTCAGATACTGTGAAACCCTGTTTAGGGGTTAGTCAACCACAGGCCCCTGAATCATTCTGAGAGCTTTGGTAATGTTTTGTATAAAACTATGAGGATATTGATGTACATGTCTTTGTCAGCATCCATTCTGCTCACAGAGGAGTGGTTTGGCCGAAGGGACAGCCTTTATATTGAGAACGGATGACAACCCGACCACTGTGGGATGTGTGATTAGATCTTAGGTTTTCTGAAGTGGTTCAGAGCTGAGTGTTTGATTGCACTTGTCATAATGAATTTAACTGGTTTCACTACATGGGGGAAAATATTCACTTATATGGCAAAAGATGTATAATTCACTTACTCGTCTGCTTTGAAAAGTCCTCTTTTGACATGAGGTTTTTTCTATTACTACTTTTTATTTCAGTTAAATGTTGCACTGCTTTGGTTTGTCTGATTATCTTTGGGAGAACTGCCAGTGTCTGCTGTGATTTATGTTGCCCACTCAAAAAGATGTCTCCCCCCCTTTCAGGCACATTGTGGTCTGTGGTCACATTACCCTCGAAAGTGTCTCCAACTTCCTCAAAGACTTCCTACACAAGGACAGGGATGATGTCAATGTAGAAATTGTTTTTCTCCATAAGTGAGTTAATCTTTTCCTCTCTTAATGCTTAGGGCACTGCAGATGATTATTCTTCATGTGAGGTATCCATACATCTGCTAAACTGTCTCCTCTTTCCTTATATGCTAGTATTTCCCCTAATCTTGAGCTGGAAGCCTTGTTCAAACGCCATTTTACCCAAGTAGAGTTCTACCAGGGATCTGTTCTCAACCCTCACGACCTGGCCCGAGTGAAGGTACTGTTCAGGGCTAACAGCTCCAAGAGATAAAATCCAACAGATTTATGACAGTTCGTCTCAAACTTGCATGTAAACGATATTTTGAGGTGGGAGACCCGAATATTATTGTGCAATCTACATTTTCAGGATATTCTTGTTTTAAAAAACATTTTCTGCACTAACATTTAAAGATAAATATGTATCCAAGTCTGTTTTTGACTTAAAGACCAAGTTCACTGAGAAACTGTTTTTACTTGTTATTTTTTAAATGATGACAGGTCTCTCTGAGTTTACCTTGCAGGGTAAACATCAAAACAGTCTGTTTTGTACATTTGTTCTGTGTTTAACTTCATAATCCAGTACTTTGTTCTTTTTTTACACAGCTTAGTAAAAATTTTTTACCTTACATGTTTCGGGTAATGACTCTAGCCATCATCAGAGTGGCGTCCATTTATCCATGGGCAGCAGAGGACGACATTGTCCTCAACTGCCCGCGGATAAACGGAAGTGACGCCACCAACACCAGCGAACTCTGATGATGGCTAGAGTCATTAGCCGAAACATGTAAGGTAAAAAACAGTTTTTTTTTAACTAAGCTGTGTGAAAAAAAGAACTAAGTAATGGATAATCAAAACAGTCTTCTACTCCCATTTCCCGCATAGAAAATAGACGAGGATTGGAGATTAGAAAAGCCACACAGATCTTTGTCACAGAAGTTATCATTCATGGACTGACCCATCATGGCTTACAACGGGGAGGCTGTTGTTCGTTTAGTTTCCAGGAGAGGGCAGAGTACGTTTCGACATGTAGAAGCTTACCGTTAGCATTAGTGACCTTGCCACATGGCAGAACTCCTTCAGGCTTGTGTTAGATGTGGGGATAAAAGATCAACATTTCAGAGCAAACAGAGTCATTGGTAGAGTTGTGTTGTCATCAGCTAATCAGAGGCGGGATACCCAAATTTTAGGCAGTCAGACTCTAAATCGTGTCGCCTTCTGCTCCCCTCTGCTCTGGCTCACTACTAGTTCCTGAAACGGGAGCACCAGAGCTTTTTTCCAACAGGAATTAACTCACAAAACATTTATTATACAAGAGACCACTGGGAATGGGCTGACAAAATGAGTGAATTTGGTCTTTAATGCCAGCGTAGAAACATGACATTTCTAGTTTTGTCAGAGTAAACTTAAGGTATAACTGAATAACGATTTGTTTTTGTTTTTTTAAAGTTTTCACTTGTTTGGTCCTTCATGTGCAGATCGAGTCAGCAGATGCCTGTTTGATTCTAGCCAACAAATACTGTGCTGATCCCGATGCCGAAGACGCCTCCAACATTATGAGGTAATGCACTCTGTGGAATCTGGGATTATTAGGAGCAAACCTCCATTTCCGTGTTCATCACATCTGCCTGTTTGTCTAGGGTCATATCTATCAAGAACTACCACCCCAAGATCAGAATAATCACACAGATGCTACAGTATCACAATAAGGTAAACCTCAGTCATTTATAATTCATCCCTTGTGAATGGTAATTTGGTGACATTTCACTATTGTAATTTAAAAAAAGAACTTTTCCATGTCAAATAGAATGAGGGTTATTACATCACATACAAATAATATTTTTCAACATCAGGGTAGTTTATTACTGATAATTTTGACTGGTTTTTTTTGCCTGCAACATGGTCTAAATGTCCATCCTGTTACGGGACATTTTCATGCTTATTGATGAGTGTTCTAAAAGCAAAACCAGTGTGCTATTTACATTTCTGAAGACTTACATTAATTTGATATAAAAATGCATACATCCTAGTTATGTTGAAAAGAAGCTTTAGTTTAAGGCACATGTAGATTCATCACATTTCCTTTACTATGAGAGTTCAATAGCAAGGTTCCCTGTTTTAATTGATTTCACTTAATTTGCTATCACTAGGGAGGATGGCACCAGCTCACCTCTGTAGGGTGATTGTTTACATCTCTGTTTCTAACTACAGTTATGAAGTATAAAGTACTTATAAAGCTTAATTTTTATTTACATCTTTAACATTGGCAATGCGTGAGCATCTCTGTAGAATAGAGTCTATTGCTAGTTGTGTTCTCATTCATTTCAAATAGATCAAACTAATATGAGAAACTATCTGCCTTCAAAGTTCCTAAAGTGCTGACCTGTCCCAGTAGGAAACGCTGTACCCTTGTGTAGTCCTTGTTCTGTGACCTTTCTGTCTTTCATGCGTTGAAGGCCCATCTGCTGAACATTCCAAGCTGGAACTGGAAGGAAGGTGATGATGCTATTTGCCTGGCGGAGCTGAAGGCAGGCTTCATCGCCCAGAGTTGTCTGGCTCAGGGCCTGTCAACGATGCTAGCCAATCTCTTCTCCATGAGGTCCTTCATTGAGGTAACTCAGCACACATTAATTCACCTCTTCTGTTCAGAATGGATTCTCACGTTTCACTTGTGAGCAGATTTTTCACTGTTGAAGATGAGGTTAGCGTAAGTGGAGTCTGTGCTGTAGGTTATCTTGTGACAGATGGTCTCCATCTATCAAACAGCACATCCAGTGTTTTTTTTTCCACTGAAATACTTTCATTACTGTGTTTAAAGTCATTTTGGCAAATCATCTTTATAGCGACGGATCATACGGAGTCTGTTCAGTGTTTTGTGGTTTAGCATTGAGAGCTATTCTCATGTCATAAAGATGATGGATCAGCATTTAATGACCAGGCTGATACTTTGCAGGAGAACATCTGCAGACCACATTGAACGTCCATCAGGGGAAATAGTGTTTCTTTGTTTTCACTTCCTCTCCATTTTTATCCACATTTTTTGGCTTTTTGTCTCTTTTTCTCCATCAGATTGAGGAGGACACATGGCAGAAGTATTACCTTGAAGGAGTCGCTAATGAGATGTACACCGAGTATTTGTCCAGTGCCTTTGTAGGCCTCTCCTTCCCCACTGTCTGCGAGTAAGTCTCGTTCCACCTATGAAGCATTTTTGTGACAGGCAAATGTGGGACTGTGGAGATTAAAAAGTTGTTAGAAGAAAGCAGTCCTGCTCTTATCTTCTCTAATGATCTGTGTTTTACTTTACAGGCTGTGCTATGTGAAGCTGAAGCTGTTGCTTATTGCCATTGAATTTAAGTCTGAGCAAAGAGAGAGCAGGTTTGTAAAGTGAACCTTTGTGTTGGAACCGGGGTGAGCTACAGAGGGATTTGTTTTGAGTGGATTGTCTGAACTAGTAGTTTTATGAGAGAACATTTACACTGATCTAGAGTACGGTGTACATTTTAGGACATCCACAGGTCTCAGGTGTCAGACATAAGACTGTAGAGAACAGAGAAGGGAATTGTGCAATCAACAAGTAAACTCCATGCGGTGATTTTGTTCTCCTCAGCATCTGAACCAGGTTCACTCACTGTGCTGATTGAAATCACCTGGTTTAGTTGCTCAACTTAAGAAAAACACGGCATGGAGATGACTTGTTGATCCCACAATTCCCCATCTCTATTAGAGCATAAAGCCTGGGTTTCATTCAAAAACCCATCAAACCTCGGACTGATTAGTGATAGTCAAAAAGGTCTCAGGAAAAAAAGCCACTAGACAAAAAGGAATCAGGAAAAACAGCTTCAACAGAAAGTAGGATTGTGGGTTGATAACTTATTTCCTGAAAACTTTCGGTTTGACAACTTTTCTCCTGACAGCTTTTGGTTTGACAACTTTCTTCCTCACGGTTTTTGGGTTGACAACTTTTTTTCTGAGGACTTTTGGTTAGACAACTTTTTACCTGATGACGTTTGGTTTGACTACTTCTTTCCTGATGGTTTTGGTGTTATCAACCTTTTTCCTGACATCAATAGGTTTGACATCTTTTTTCCTGAAGCTGTTTTCCCTGATTCCTTTTTGTCTGATGTTTTTTTCCTGAGACCTTTTTGTCTGACACTAATTAGGCAGACATCTAATAGGTTTTTGAATTAAACCTGAGGTTTTTTTCTTTATGCTCTGATGTTTGACACCTGAGACCTGAGGATGTCCTCAAATGTACTCCGTACTGGGGAACAGGGCTGATTTTATAGTTCATACATCACGTTTTGTGCATGAAAGCACAGTCTGAAAACACTTCAATTCAGGCTGAAAATTAATTATTTGCATATAATGGTGACTTAAAAACTATAGTTGAAAAAAATTACAAGTGTTCCTAAATTTCTATGTTTATGTTCTAAGGAATGTCAAAACTCATAGAGTTTGACAGCTTTTTTAAAGGAATTTGAACCAATTTAGAAATGAAAATGTTCTTCTCAGTTCCACAAGTCATTGATAATAAATGGCAAGAAGGGTGTTTCAGAGACCTGTGAGCTGACTGCACCAGAGCACCATGTTCTGTAACTTAAGGAAACTTTTCTGCACATTCAGATTCCATATTGTCTCCTCAGCTCGACTCTCCAGTGTCCCTGTTCAGTCCATATGATTACCACCAACTCTGCATTAGTGTTGGTTCCATTAGCTACACAAAGTGCTATATTTTTCTGTTTTCTCAACTGCCAAATCCAACCCACCCCTCCCCATTCGCCTGTGTCAAATGTTTTTGTGTGTGCACTGACAAGGCTGCATGACAAATGCTTATTTTGATGTAAAACGACTTTAGTGTTAATTTTCTGATGTGATATTTTACTCAGTATCTTTTCAAGTTGCTTACTTTTTAAAAATGCTTTTAAAAATGGAATTAAATCATTTTTGTTTCCAAAATTTTCTTAGAACTTTTTATCATTTCATTAATCTCTGCAGTCAAGTCATGTAATTATCAGAAGATAACCATTCCTACAGGACCTTTTGTAAATATAATTATTTTCTTCCTATAGTAGTCATACAATATGGTTTTTTCGTTGCAAGGACTTCAGTATCGGACAGGCATCATGTGCCTGGCATGCCTATTGAATCTGGAGAAAACTATTAGCAACAGTTTTATGTTGATGATAACTGTTTGATTTGAGATTTTTTCTTGTTGTTTGCAGAAGCCGAAAGCGGTATGCCCTCTACCTTATCTTACTTCCAAAGTTCCACCCAATCTCCACCACTTTAAAGCTTCTGACTTTGGGAGTTTTCCCAAGGATATTTTTCCAAACTCTATCTCACAGGCCTCCTTTTTTCTGACTTTTTATGGTGTCCGTTGTGCTTAATGCACTAACTTCTTTGCAGGCAGAGAGAGGATAGATAAATTGGACATGTCTGTAGAAGTTCTGTTTCTTTGTCTTTGCTGTTGTCGATGTACCAAGGCCAAACACTCACCCTCTCCATATCTACCTCTTTTTTGGTCTTTTCTGTTTCGTCTTTAACCAGACCCTGTGCTTACTTTGATTTTTTTCACCTTTCAGTTCCTTTTCAGTGTTGCTTTGTTAAAACCCTTATGTGTGTCAGCGCTGAGAAGCTAAGCATCCCACCCATTGGTTGTTGAGCTCATTGCCAGAGCAGTACTTTGTGGTCCTTTGACTCAAAATAAGTTCCAACTTTCTATATTCTTATCTCAGATTATCTGTTGCTCTCAATATTGAGATACATTTACTGGATATCTGCCATTTCTACAGGCAGTAGCTGATCCAACAGCATGTTTGCTCTAATGGATTTATGAAACCAACATCACCCCAACAGTTGTTTTATTTTTTCTGTCTTTTTTCTGTTTTGGGGATAATTTCACACATTATAAAAGGCATAGAGGTGTTAATTTATCCAAACTAAAGCTTAATTCACCTGTGTCACATCTCACTTTTGCATTCCATGACCCTCCCACATGTTCTGATTACTACATGTGTATCCATCTGTGCATGTTTGTGCGTCTGAGTATGTGTGATTACTTCGAGGAAGGAGAATTTGTGTGTGAATGTTCATTTTTTTGTGTGTGTGCGTCTCAGCCACCATGTACAGTCATGCTTGTGCGTCTCTCGAGTAGATGTTCCTAAGTGAGGTCACTTCCTGTCAGTTTGGTGTTTGAGAAACAATCCAACTGCACAGAAGTTACTGCAACCGTCTGCATCTACGTACCTGTCCCTATATCTGTACTGCGGTGGCTATGCCTTTCTGTTTGATTAATGTCCTCCTCATGCTGTTTGGTAACTGCATGCTACAACACAATCACACAAGCTGTTCGATGCTTGCCTTGTTGCTCACAATATGAGGTTTTGATGCTTTTTGTTAAAAGCGTTGACGCACAAGTTTATACCTGATATGGGTCAAACGTTCACACACCTCTAAAATCTCAGATTTGGGCAGCAATGTTTGTGGATCTGTCTCAATGAAATGATTTTAGTTATTTTTACTGAAGAGCATGCCAGGTGTAATGCCTGTACACTCCCCTGGGGGCCATTCAATTTGAGGGAATGTTAGATCTTTTTTCTTTTTTTACTTCTTGGCGTGTGAAAAGAACAATAAGATCTGCATGACTGGTGGAATTTGACCACAATCCCTCAATCTGTGTTTAGATTCAGTTACTCCTTAATTGTTTAGAGACACACCAATCAACTGTTTTATTATGACCTCTAAAGAGGAGGCTGCTCATCTGGTGATGATGAAAAGTTTTCCATATTATTCCCTCAGACACACGAACCAAGCAGGGCAACTATGGACCCTACAGCGACTCGGTGAACTCAAGGAGTCTGAGATGTCACCACATAGACTCAATCCACTGGCCCCAAAGACACTCCCACATTCTCTCTGTTCATAACCAGACTGGTCATATCATTGGCCAGTGGTTAGTGGTCATAATATTATGGGTGATTGGTGCATTTGTTTTCTCGATGTAACCTTTTTCCAGAGCTCAGAAGAAAAATGCTTTGTGTGTAATGTTTCAGCCCTCAGTCGAAAATGTTCGTTTCAAAATGCCAAACTTTAAATCATCAGGACATTATCTGATTGAGATCAGCTGTATGTTGCAACAGTTTGTTTTTATTGTTAGGACCCCCCCCCCCCCCCCCCCCCCCCCCCAAACACTGCCATATTGACAGTATTTAAATAGTTGTAAATGTTAAATTAGGTGTTGGAGAAGAAAATCCCAACATTCAATCAAACCATCTTTCAGCTGGGCTTTTATTTTGAAGGAGTATAACATTTATTTTTTAGGTTTGTGGGTTCAGTGTTTGAATATCTCAGTTCGCATAATTGATAATTGTTGCCCACAGGTAACCATGACTAGGGTGTGTGTGTGTGTGTGTGTGTGTGTGAGTACAGTATATGTGTATGGTGTGTTCAGTTTGTTGTGGTCTAATTAATGGGGAATGATACAGCCAATCACTGTAAGTGTTTAGGGTTTGGATTGAGCCTACTCACAAAAAAGCTGTGTGATAGTGTCCTAAAATATATTCTAAAAAACAATTCAAGTTAGCATTGGCTTTTGTGCAATTATTATTATTAATGCTAATCTTTTTAAGGGACTCCAATTATGAAGCAGGTAATACAGTAATGGAGTTAAGTATTATGAGAAAGCTGTTCATTCCCTTACATCCCACTGTCCAATACTAACTGAAACAACAACTTTTGCTGTGCTGCAGCCATGTCACCGTGGCCATCACAACATTTGTTTTGCCTAGATGACTGTATCTGAATGCTGAGAGTTAAACCACTCCATGGCCATAATTTTAATTCTTTCTGCTCTCGTCCCTTTTACTTGTACCTCTCTGTCCCTCCTCTCACCCCGAACCAATCCAGCACCATTCTGTAAAGAAAAGAATTAAAATTCAGTGTTCAACCATAATGTTGTACATTTTTGTCCATCCATGTGAGCATCACATCTGCAAAATGCTCAAAGTCATAGAAAACAAAACAAGCAGCATTACAGTGGAGTCAAATAGAACATTCATATGTTTAATGTTACCTAAGAAGGATGCAATAAAGTAAATGAAACATCAGCACAGTCCTGGTCAAATTCAAGGCTTTAACGAGTGTGTGTACCATTCCTCTTGATTAGCATGTTGTGGGCATGGACTGAGGACCACCTAGACATTAATAATCTTAATTGATCTGTTTGTGATTACCCAGCATCCTCATCAACCCAGGCAACCATGTCAAGTTGCAGGATGGGACTCTTGGATTCTTTATTGCCAGTGATGCCAAAGAAGTAAAGAGGTGATTCAGCTGGAGAACAAGCAAATAGTCACGTTCAATTTAGCTGTCATTTTAATTGTTAAATGTTTGTCCCTTTTAGAGCATTTTTCTACTGCAAAGCTTGTCACGATGACATCACAGACCCCAAAAGGATTAAGAAGTGTGGCTGCAAACGACGTGAGTAGCTTTGCTTTCAATGTTCATCCCGTTACGGCTTTCCTTTCCTTCCCCTCACCCCCAAAAGAAAAAAAATATATATGTATATATCTGTGGGTTTGTCTGTTTTAAACAGTGTAGTAGTTATTTGCTCATAATTTGTGGCTTTGACTGTTCAGTTGTGTGCATTTGTGTTTTGTGTTGTCATACCATTATACTCAGAAAAGTGCACAAGTCTCGTTTGAACTGCCTAACATCTATGATGGTGTTATCACCAATCAATTAACTTCTTTTTCTAAATATGTTTTTATGCTTTTGTATAATTTACCTAACTGCAAAAGGAACTATACTAGGTAATTTGCATGAAACATTGTCAATATCAAACAACAGGAAGTTCCAGCTCCAATAAAAAAAAAAAAATAAATATATATATATATATATATATATATATATATATATATATATATATATATATATATATATATACAGTGCTCAGCATACATGAGTACACCTCCTTTAAAAAGTACAAGTTGAATCAGTAGCTCAATGAACAAAAGAACAATTTCCAGAGTTTTCACAATGCTGGGTTTTATTGAACACTTGTTTAACTCCGTAACATTAAATTAAGGTTAATAATATAACTTAGATCACAAAATCTTATGGGTTATGGGAAATATTCTTTGAACTAATTTTAGACTATCAGTGACATTTTCCTGTGGGACCAGTTTGGTTTGAATGTCTTCCCCAAAATAAATAAAATAATCTTATTAAAACTACATATCATATTTTTTATTAACTTGCTGATATGAAAGTGTGACAACAAAAACAAAAACAGTATAATCATGTGAAGGGGCAAAAACATAACTGAAAAACACTAGTACTAACAAATAGTAATCGTTTTCCACATAGTATTTGTACATTTTTATGTGATGATGTCTACTAATGGCCCAGTCAAAATGTTTATTGAAGTAGACATAATCTCATTACGACAGGAGCAGCACATAAATACAACCTGACCTAAGTACTTGTCAGCAAACGTTAGCCACTGTATAAATAAATCAGGAGAATATTTCTCCATAAAAGGTCACAGATAATCATTTCAGCAGCGTTTTCCAGATGAAAACCTGCATTAAAAACAGACTCACCAGCCTCCTTTCGGACTGTGTCATCTAAACGATTAAGAATTATTCTTTTATTTATGGCAGATAAATATTAACAAACTATTCACACTGTGGTGTTGGACAGAGCATTATGTTTAATGTTCTCACCAAAGTTGCATTAAGTAAAAGTGGCAGTTCCATTATTTGGATGGAATTCTGTGTGTATGTTCTGATTTATCATGTTTTGTTCTCCTCTATTGTTTTTCCCATGTTTCTTTATGACCAATGACACACTTTTGATGTATTTCCTTCCCTGCTGCCATTGGAACACACCACTTTATTTTAACTACTCACTGGTAGTGATTTATTGTGAGTAAAAAAAAAAGGAAATGGGTGCCTATTACCCAGAGTCCAATGTTTTTTTATTTTTGTTTATTTTCCCTCTTCAGCAAATAGTATATTGTATCTATGTTGCATGTACCAGTGTAGCTTCTGCATCCTTCTCCTCGCCTCTCATTGCGACGCTGTGCTCAGACCAGACCAAATCCAAACCAGCATCAGTTACAACAGCATCAGGGCTCCTCCCATTAGACTCTGTTAGCTGGAAATGACAAATAAAATGTGACATAATATATGGACAAGCCATATGGGTTCCACCAGGTTTTGTCCGCGGTTTCCATGGTGGCCCTATAGGGATTAACCCAAAAAGATGTGTGCTTACATAGATTTTAACTACGTGGGTTTTCTGAGAGTTTGACTCCAACACCGGCCCATTAAAATCTTTGTAGGCGAACCCCTGGAAACCTCGGGCAAACCCTGTTGGGACCTATACAGCTTGCCCATATTTATTCCGTATGGGGCCCACCTATGTGTCCTGGCTAGGATGACCTTCGCAGTTGTTGGTCGCAGTTTGAGCATCAAACTAATCTCATCTTTTTTGTGTTCAGAAGCCAATTTAATTCTTTTGTTGTTATTTCTGATTAACCCGTACTGCTGTAATGCTCCAGGAAACACGTAGTCGATGCAAGAAAGAAAAGTGAAACTGAATATTTATTGTAGATCTGGAGGAGCAAAAGGCAAGAAAACTAACAAGAATCGCAAAGATTAAAGCAGACCTGCTTTCTGTCAAAGGAGGGTTTTTTGTGTGTGACTTTGTTTTTCCAGGGAGCAGAATTTGTTCTTGTGGGAAGTGTGTTTTTCTCTTCATCTTTTTCTTAAAGCCTAGAAAAGTGAAGTTGCCAAAACCCAATCAGAACATTCTGGTCTCCCTCTTGTCCCGATTCACTGTGATCTCAGCCCATTTCTAAACTCTGGCTGAGCTTTCAGAGATCATTGCTTCATTTCTGACTTTAAACGTCACCACAGCGGTGTTGGGTCCTGCTGGTCTCCCTCGCTGCACTGGGTGACAAAAGTCCATGAGAAATATTCAGAAACAAAATGTCATAGTGCTCAGTCGCCAATAGATGGTGATCTCCTACCAGTCCTGTCTGATAAATGATCGTGACGTTTGTAGAAGAAACTCAAACCCCGTAAAAGCTGTTCAGCAAAAATACAAGATGGGTGTGTCTGTGTGAGAAATGGGATCAAAACAAAATTTTACATTTTACCAATTGATCCTCTTTTATGTGTTGAGTCCTTTTGTACTCAGTGTTTCATGTTCACATGATACGTGTGTTGCTCAAAAGTCATGAGCCAGTATCACTTCCCTTGCACTCTTGCTGAATCAGAAAGCTTTTAGACGGGGACGTATGTGAGTTTGCTGCTTTCTTTGGGACATCCTTATTATTCAACATAGCACCCTGATTGCTTCTATTCAAGGGCGCTTTCCTTATTGGTGGATCACAGGAGGGGAGGTACTTATTAAACACCCAAACAGTTGATCAGGGTAGCTGGATGTTGAATCACCAGTCAAAGATGTCCTACGATGGGCACGCTACGGTCTTTGGCCGAAGTCAGGTTACTTGTAGTAAAGGACATTGTCAGAGAGAGTGTGTTTGTGTGTATGTGGGTGTGGGTGTCCTGTGTTTTCCATCTTCCCCCTCCCGTTGTTTTATAAATCAACATTGTTACTTATATATACTGTGGTCCCAGAAACAAACTTCTTGATTTAAGAGATTTCAGCATGATCCTACGGCCTCACTGCACATGTCTGCCCATGACCCCCCCCTCCCACTAAACTGGTTCATGACTGTGAACGGTTATCTCTTTGCCTTTCCTTGTTGCTGAGAGCATTTTTGCATGCTTCTCACATGCTCATAAAGCATGCGTGCATGCCACAAGATAAAGCAATCCCTGATGCCTTCTTAAATGATCTGCACCTTCCATTCTTTCTTTGGCCAAATGTCCAAACTGGTCACTTCATTTAAGATCTAGTTGTCCAATCTGAGTTTGAATCGAAGAAGTTCAGAGTGTTGGTAAAAGTGCCAGACGGTGTTTGCACCTTTCCATTGAGAGAATGGGGATCGGGGACTGTTTCTGCCCAGAGTCACAGCAATCTACTGATGCTTCTCTGGGGACTTTCACTCCTGCTCCCCTTTGGGTTCAAGGTTTCCCACACATAACAAAACACACATGTAAGAGTGAAAAAGCATCCGTCCTGATCTTAGATGATATAAATCTACTTTTGATTTTGCTATTTTCTGAAAAAAATATTTTAAATGTCTATAAATTGACAAATAACAAATATTTCTGGAATACATGAACTAAATTTATAAGCAAGGCTGCAGATTAAAGTATCAGTTAAGAACTCATAGCTCAGTTTTACTATAAAAGTGTGCAAGACATAAAAAAGCAGAACATTATAAATATAGTTTGAGATGATAATTATTTGGTAGATTCTATATATGTGCACAAAAAGTAAAACAATCAGCTTTAAATAAAGTGAAAATTTTTATCTACAAATTAAAGGTGCATTGAATAATAACGACACCCTTTGGTCAAATGTGTGTACTGCAGTCGATGTATCAAAACAAACAACCGTTTGTTGGCAACTGTTGCAAGTTACGGGACAGCACCAGAAGGTTCTAGATGATGAGCACAGCATAGCATAGCATAGTTTATTGATATAGCACGTTTAAAATGCAGCATGGGAGCTGCCCAAAGTGCTGCACAGGCTAAAACAAAACACAGCCATTACGAGGAGCTAAAACAAAGGATAAAAATCTCAATCAAAGGCAGATAAAATGAGTCATACGCAGTAGGTTGATAAGTGAATAAGTACATTTTACTGTATTTTTTTCCCCCGTTCACTGTTAGCATTGTTAGCTCAACGCTAGCTTCCAACTATCTTAATCCATTATTAGGGTAAAACAATAGGATGTCGTGGCTTTAGTGCGAGTATTGGGATTTGGCCAATGACTACACGGGAAAACCTGTCAACCCCCGCAGCCGACTGAGAGGGAAATCTGTGTCTGCGATGTTCCGTCCAACATGATTGAGACTGTTTTGTTATTATTTCATCGTAAAATGCTTATTGTGTCGTCAAATATTTTAACGTACTGAGATTTTAACGCAATAGCATGGTAGCTTTAGCTACATTTCATATCAGAATTATATTTCCGTATGAGCAGAACCACTGGGTGAACTGGTTCATTTCATTATATTTGTTTATTCCACATGACACAAACAACATAAACAGATGACAATATAGTGATCCTTTATGAGTTCATATAGTAGAACAACTGGTTAGTTTCCCAGTCACATCCGACCGAACAGCCCTTGGGGAGCAGAGCAGTGAAAACTGCAGGTCTTGGAAATAGCATGACTCTGCAAGTCTAGCAAGTAGAGTAGTGTGATGCCACGGACAGAGCCTACTGCTGCATGATGGGATACAGGTACGTGATCCTCTCATTTAGCCCAATAGACAGAGGATGGACAAATGTTTGGAAGTATGTTTAAGGTTTGCTGCTGAAGACATTGCTCATGCCTTTTTCCTGAATGCCTCCCATCCCGTCTTCCCTTCCCCTCTCCCCTCTTTCCCAGAGTAATATTTTGTTTTTTGAACTTGTTTCAGCCTTAGCACACAGCTTGACCTCTTTAGACCCTATCAATGAGGAATAATCCACTAGTATTGGATTTATTCATTTTAAAATCTGGTTACTTTAGCGACACTTTCTCAGTCATGAAAAATGTTGAGTTTTCCAACCAATCCTGATGTGTTTATCTAAGCTGGGGTTCAAGTCTGTGGAGCAGGTAGCTAAGGTTTTCTGATGAAGTTACCTTCCAACTTCCCCTATATGAAGATTTCTCCTTTTTGCCATTAACCTGCTGCTTTTCCTCTCCTCTCATCCCAAAACATGACTGTAGCCAAGATGTCCGTCTACAAACGAATGAAACTGGCATGTTGTTTTGATTGCGGCCGCTCAGAGCGAGACTGCTCTTGCATGTCAGGCAGTGTACATAGTAACATGGACACCCTTCAGAGGGCCTACCCACTTTCCTCTGTCTCTGTTCATGATTGCGCAACCACTTTACATGCCTGTAAGTTACACCGCCCAACACATGCTGTTACGTGTCTGTGATGTGTGCTCCGTGTGGTGTCCTATACAGAGGTACTGTACTTGTGTGTGTGTGTGTGTCTCAGGATGTTGTCTCTGTGGTGTGATTTGTTTCATGTGGCTTCATCCGTTTGTGACGCTGTTTTTGTTTGTTAATTCTGTCTAGCTTTAATATATTTCTGAGCAGATAGAATTTGAAGTGAAATGAAAGCGTTCCTGTCTGACGTGTGGTGGGTAAGTGGTGGTGTGGCCCTGTGGTGCTGCTGTACAGTAACTGTAGGTGTCAGACATGTGGCTACCGCATGCTGCATTGATCATGCAGTTGGAGCGTGGTGTTTCATGTTTTTATAACTGTTCAAGGTAAGACGTCTGCATTTGCAAAAAAAGGAATAAGCAAGTTCGTACTGAAAATGTGTTGCTGTAATTTGCGTGTAATGTTTGTCAAAATGTGTCTGATTCTTTAATTTGAACACCCTTACAAACTTTTGAGTTTGTAACATTTTTAGTTCAAGAAGTTAATTTGTTTGTTATTTTAGTTTTTGTTTATTTTTTATTTATCTGTTTTTTTTTTTTTTGCTTAATCTTACTGAGCATCCATAGAAGATCTAGGAAATTAGTTTTGAAGATTTGGATAAATAAGAATCAGGAGACAGTGTTGATTCAGTAGTAGACAATCCTTCTTCTTCTTTAGTTTAACAACAGAAGAAGTGTCAAATCTGCATGAAAATAAATGGTAAAGGCCTTAGAAACTTTTATGTTTAACAATATTATTCCAAACAAACCATATTGGGACTATATAAATCATAGATTTCATTATTTAAAATGTTTAATACACTAGCCAGGCCACAACCCATAGACAGAGCCCAGTCGTGGGGCGTTATCTACAGTTGTCTTTCAAACTGTCTGCACGCAGTTGGACAGCGCTAGGACCAATCAGATCAATGAACAAAGTGAAATACTCATTGCTACGGAAAACAGTCAACAGGGCAGTTCGTCATAGGGAAACTAAGTCACACCCAGAAATGGGGAACCCCGGAAGAACGAAAAAATGAGTGCAAGTCAGTGGGGTTAAAACGCTATTTTCTAATCCTGCTTGTTATGTGCCATGGATTTCACATAATTATGATGCCTGTGAATTTAAAAAAACACATTTTGATGGCAAGAAAGCGCTTATTTTTGAACAAGGGCAAAGTTGTTTTAGGTTTTTTATGAAAATCAGTCCAGGACTACAAATGTGCATCACCAAATTGACGTAGTTGCATAAGTAGCGACTACGCTAGGGTAGAGGAGATTATGTGGTGATGTCATATATGCGACGTCTGATTTGTTGTCAAAGGAATTATACATTTTTATAAGCTGATAAATACCAAAGTACGTTACAGGCGGGGTCAAAACACACATCATTATTTTTCATTTAAATTGAAGTACAACATATGCGATTCAGGGCTTAAGGCAAATAAAACGAATTAGAAAATAGCTCTTTTAGACCAGTGGTTCCCAAACTTATTTAGCCACGCACCCCCTTCTATGTCCCGACCATGTTAAACTAATGTTGTAAAATTACTTCTGCCCAGCCCAGATGTGCTCACATGTGCACCCGTGAGCCGTGGTTCCGCTGGAACGCGTCTGACCTCTGACAGAAGCACTCTGAACTTCAGATCTTCAGCGCGCTGTCAATAGCCTGAATGGGAATCATTTCTTGATTTATTTTGTTACATCCACAATGTTCTGTGTGTGAGGTTTACAATGTCATAACACCTGCATGAGACAGGTGTTAATTACAATCTGCCAGAATGACTCGCCACCTTCAGATTTCTCCAACACCGTTAAAAATGATCAAATACGGAACATATTGGCGTGCGCAGGCCAGAGTGCTGAAGCTCGGCGCATTGTTATTATGAAGCTAGGGCACATGTGGAGGACACACGCGCACGCAAAAATGTACTTGTTTTCAATTACATTTATTGGGCCCACTTACTTTTTCTTAGGCCCATCCACAAATGAGTTTCTACGCTAATGGTGACATATGACAGACTTCTCTGAGCTCTGCAGCCATTACACTTTTCACCTTGCGCACCCCCTAGCGGCAGCTCGCGCACCCCTGGGGGTGCGCGCTCCACACTTTGGGTATCCCTGTTTTAGACCCGTTGACTTGCTTTCATTTTTTCGTTGTTCCAGGGACCCATGAGCCAACTGGAAAGGGAGGAGACTTAGGCCCCCTATACTTCATTGGCTCCATTCGTGAGCCAACGCCATCTTTGTGGTTTTGCTCTATTGCAACTCTGGTGCTAAGCCTGCCCGACGTCTCTATAAACACAGAGAGCTGTGATTAGTCAGACCTAAACTTAGCCCAGCCAGTGGTAGACCTGCTGAGGCTACATTGGAGCTTGGCTAGACCAATCCGTAGAGCCAAATCTTGTGCTTCTGCTACAGTTGGTCTGGATTTCGAAGCTAGTCATGCACTTTAACTCATTTTTTAAAGACAAATACTTCCAGGTTAGCCTTCTTTTTGTTGACAGATGACATAAAATTGTACTTTTTATAAAAATGCTTTCAGCCTGTAATTGGAATGATCTCTCATCTAGACAAGTTCCTCAGTTTGACAAATTGAACCTCAGAGAAAAAAAGGTGGTTTAATAAAAAGAAAGAAAGGATGTTGTGACCGGAAGGAGAGACTTTCTAACGCAGGAAGAAAAGAGGAGGTAGAGGAATCCTGGATGAGCCCTTCTTTTCCATTTTTCCTTTGAGTGGATGGGAAACACTAAATTGTCTGTCAATTAGACATGGCAGCAGTAGGCCTGGCTATCAAAGCCTTGGGTTCAGACATACAGATCTGATTTCCTTCTCAACATTCTCCCACCGTCTGCCGACTCAGCCTAGATTAGTGTCAAACACGGCATGATGAGTTTGGCTTGGCCTCTTGTAGTTGGGGCCTGCGCTGATATCCCTCGGTACCAATTACTGGCTATTACATGGTTACTGATCTCACTTTTCCTTCAACCCCCAGTAGGATTTAAGGAAAGCCTCCTCTGTCTTAGATTTCTTTCACTTTTTAAGTCAGAATGAACAAAGGAAGTATTGGGCTTTGTCAGGCAGGGGCTGTTGGATTTCCTCATTGTGTCTTACTTTTGTTTTTTAACCTGGCTATTAACATGCACACATATAAATCATATTTATTATATACATATATACACCAACCACATTCACACACACACACACACACACACACACACACACACACACACACACACACACACACACACACACACACACACACACACACACATGCTAATTGAAGTAGCTGAATGACATTTTAAAAAATTGTAACAAACAATTCGATCAATGAGCTAAAGAAATATTCAATGGTGATTTTGCTGTTCAGTTCTGGGAAAAATGGGAAAATAAAGAATATTATTTAGAAGTGAGTGGAAGGCGTTTTTAGGTTTTAGCATTTCTAGGTTTAGTTTGCTGAATTTATCAATTTAGGCTGTGAGAACGTCACAGAAGTGGTTAAAGGAAAGTGATCTATTGTTGTGTCTGGATCTCGATCATTCCAGAAAAGCCTTAGTGAACTTGTTAACGGGGATTCGACGATGGAGTAGCTGATGCAGCTTGAGGTTGAGATCTGGAGGCTACAGATGCTTTTGGCTTGTTCCCAGACCCTCATGGCTGTGTGTGTGTGTGTCTGTGTGTGTGTGTGTGTGTGTGTGTGTGTGTGTGTGTGTGTGTGTGTGTGTGTGTGTGTGTGTGTGTGTGTCTGTGTGTGTCTGTGTGTGTGTGTGTGTGTGTGTGTGTGTGTGTGTGTGTGTGTGTGTGTGTGTGTGTGTGTGTGTGTGTGTGTGCGTGCGCACCCCGAGATGTGCTCTTACATCTGCGTCTACGCATGCATGTGTGTGGATCTTCATCTCATTCCAAAGGGCCTTATCTGTCCTGACACAGAAATTATGTTTGCATTTTCATTTTCCCAGCCTTGCTGGTCTGTCACCAAACATGCTCTGACAGCTCCTGTCCACCAGGCAGGCTCGGGTCCCCCCGCCCTCCCCACCCTCTGTCCTATGTCGTGTCGCTACGCCCCAGATGCTAGCCAGTTAGTCCGCTGCCTCGGCGGTGCGGGTAGATTGCTAGAGACAGATGCCAGGGCCACTGTGGGTCCCTGTTTTGAGGATCTGTGTCGTAGGCCAGCCTTGGGCCTTCAGTGTGACCTTTTTTGCTGGAAGAGACTTTGACTAAGAAAGGGGGGGTGTCAGAGGCTCAGAGCTCAGTTCAAGTGCCCACTCTACCAGTGGTTATGCTACCAATCTTTTAATATCTCCTCAGTCAAGGTCACAAACTGTAATTCCCAGATAATTAACAGCACAGGCATAAACGAAGACCTTGGGCCCTCCTAATCGAAAACAACCCCTGAGCATTGACTTGGAAAAGTCCCAGTATTAGAAGCTTGTTGGTGCTAGAAGTCCAGACTGCATGTGTGTAAGAATCAGTGCTCTGTTAGTCTAGAGAAGTGTCTGTTTCATGTATTTTCTATATCAAATCAAATTCAAATCTTTGGAAGAATTCTCACATTTTCCATGAGATCTTCATGTCACCCTTTTTTAGAACACTTTCCTAAAAGCATGGCTCCCTCTGAGAACTAACAGCCCATTCATTCATGGCTTTAGCCACCACTCCATCCTCCAATCATCACTGTCAGACGTATCATTTTATCTACTTGAATCCTTGGTTTGTGCTTGTCGTCGTTCATCAGCGATGCACAAGAGCTTCCTCCACTTTCATTTCCACCCACTACTCTTTAGTTGATGTCTCTCTCTGTGTGACCTGCCACTTGTCTTTGCATTCTCCTCAGCCAAATATAAGTATAATGGATATGTCAGATCACGTAAGTGTGTTTCTCTGCCCTTCTCCACTCTGCTCCCACCCTGTGTTTGACTGTACCCCCTCAAACGTACCATATAGTAATGACTCTGTTAATATCCTTTTATCTTGTGTTTTCTACTCCATCTTAACTGTAATATAAACCTACTTTAAACAGAACATAATCACTGTTACGTTTTGATTTTTTCGAGATAGAGTGATACATTCCTGGTGTGCGTCTGTAATAAAGATGAGTGTGTGTTTGTGAATTCCATGTAGTTCCATAAAATATTTGTTTGTATTTTGCTGCATGTAGCAGCAGATGGCGCTACAACACCAGGGAACAGTGGAAGCCAAAAAGAGGCTGGCGTTCGATTCAAAGCCGATTGCAATATAGGTAAATCTTTGGCAAGTAATTACTAAATGACTTGATTCTCATCCCGCTACCTAATAGGATTTATTTTACCTTCCTAATGCTATTTTTCATCTCTGATATTCTTTGTACCTCTTTTAAGTTCTTTTTTGATAAGAAAGACGTGTTTGGTTCTGTTGTTTTTATGATGGCTGATTCCTTTATTAGAACTGAAGGAAACTGCAACAGCCAGTGATGTAGCTTTTGTTTTTTCAGTGACGATAACGTAAAAGTGCATGGCTTTAAGAGCTGTTTCATGCAGATGAACCACAACGCTTGTTCATGTAGCTAACACTGACGGTGATGCCAGCTCAGCTGACATAGAAATGTAAGCATTTCTTGTTGTTACTCCTCTGCCTCATCATCCGGTTTACATTAGGAAACTGCGATCTGATAAGGTTTGCATGCAGGACAGCACCATCATGCGATTAGCATTTCAAGAAAGGACAGTTGCCGTCTGGGTTGTTCAGGATGCACAGTGGACCTGCCAGGCCGGCTGAATGCTCTGTAACGCTGCGCGTGTTTGACAAGGGCCAGATGAATCCAGGAGCTATCGGTGGCGCCCTGTAAGTCAAGGCGGCAGCTGACGGCTGGGATAAATGTCTGTTTATTGCCTCGGGCCACCCAAGCATGCTCTATCGTCCAAACAACCAAGCAACCACCCTTGTGCCAGGGCTTTGCCTCTGCAAGTCAACTTTGCAACCAGATATTTTACTTTTATTCCTCTGGTTCCTTCCTGCAGTGTGCCATGACCCCTTCAGTACATACAGGCTGACACTGCAGCCACTTAGACTGTGTGTGTGTGTGTGTGTGTGTGTGTGTGTGTGTGTGTGTGTGTGTGTGCTGAATAAATATCAGATGTGCATATGCCAAGAACAAACGATGATTCTTTCACCGGATGTGCAGCATTTAAAATAATAATAATAATAATAATAATAATAATAATAATAATATAATAATAATATTATAATAATACATTTTAAGGCATGCTGCTTTTGTGTACAATAGCATCAGTTTTTTTATTAATTAATTTCTCTACCTCATCCAAAATGAAAGCCATACATGTTTAATGGCTAAGAGGTTTTAAATTAGTTATATTTTTATTATAAATTATTAGTTACACTTTTTTTTAATTTGTCGAAATGAAAGCACCGTTCCACACATTAGAGATGAAATGACGACGCCTGATGAGAGTTGACTGGAATCAGCCGAGCCGTGTCTCTGCTTTGTTTTACCAGAAAGTGCAGCAGAAATGAGAAACAGAACTGAGAACCTTCTAATTAATTCATGCTCGTCACAAACTGCAGAGTAAATGTCATCGGGAAGGTTTTAGTTTGGAAGTGTCAACACCCGTCAGCGTAAACTATGTTATTTTATCTTTTATCACCTGATTTATTGGTTTAATGGTTACGTAAGTCTTTGCTTTAAATGCATCTTTATTCATCATGTAACTAATATATTAACTTTATTCTTGTATTTCAAATGTAGAATAAATATAGTGTGAATAAAACAAAACATATTTCATCAGTTTTAGCGTAAGTGCTGCTGAAACTGCTGACTGACACTATACCTTCATCACCCAACACCAGATCCAGGACCCCCTGGCCAGCTGGGGTAAATGAAGCTTGCTCCCTGTGGGGCTTTTGGATCCTAAGGCGGACCCCTAACAATCGTCCCTTAGCGTGTCTCAGGTCCAGTGGGCTGATCTCTAGCTGGGCGCTGACTGAAATGGGTCCGTAGTCTGAAAGCCACCGCCTCCCCAGTAATGCCACGCAGCTCGGTCTCTGTGGGTTGTCCCTTTAGCGGGGTGCACAGGTCAGAAACCCCGTCTGTCCCGTTCCTTTTCTATTTAGCCGCATGACGCTCCACTCTGCTGCAGATGCTGCTGCTGTTGCTTTAGCTCATTTGCACAGATCCCCCTGTCGGTGCAGCAATCCGTTCCAATGCACAGAATGACTTCCTTCCTCAGGAGTAATGAAGAAGTCTCCAATTTACATTTGACATAAAATATTAGCTGTTGTTGATTTGATTTGAAATGTTGCAGGACTTCTGAGCTCTTCAGTTACAAACCCTGAGGAAGCAGAATAAAACCATGCTATGATTTGCCTGCCAAAGCAGAAACAATATTTAAGAAATGCATATTTTTAAACGTGTTACTTTCGATCTACATTAAGGGGAGTGAATCTTTTCTAAAGTGCTCTTAATAACAGATATTCTCAAGGCCCAATTTCATAAGGAAATGTCAGAGAATGACATTTTACTATAAGGCAAAGTCATATTTCTTAGCTTTTATTAGCAGAATAGGGTGACAGACAGGAACGGCTGCTCAAACAATAATGAAATTCCAAATGTGTGGAATAGTCACAGCTCGCTGTGTGCACATTGATTTGCACTAATATCATGCTGCGCTATTGATTTCCAACCAAAGGAGCGATTGGGGTTTGAAGTGACGGTGCGCTTGGCATTTGCAGATGGGAGAGAAGTATCTGGGTGCTGCTCTGAACGCTTTCAAACCTCACAAGCGACAGCAGCGGAGATCAGACCGCTGTTAGCTGGACTGGAATCTCCACACGGTCGGTCTCTGCTGCTGGGACCACGTAAAGTAAAAAAAAAAACATGTTTTTCTCATTTAGTAAACTTAGCAGTAACACTAAAGCGCCATGCTGAAATTTAAACAGCAGTTTGAGTGAATGACTCTTTACACAAAGACTATATGCATTTGTTGCTTTTAAATGTACTGATCCATACCGTTATTAACGTTCCCTGATGTCATTGTCTGCTGAACGCTAATCGTGCGCTTCCGTAAGCTCTGGAATGATGGGGTAGGGAAACAATAGTTTCAGTTTTATTTATTTTTATTTTTCAGAAAAGAAATAAACATGCTTAAGGTTAATGTCCGTAACGCTTATTTCATTGTCATTGCTTTTGCTGAAGGTCCATCTGGACAGAAGCAGCAGTGTTTCACTCAGGGCCATTGGTAGAGCAAAATAAGACAGGGGAGTTTGGGAAAAGAGCTTTCCAATTCAATTTTTAGAACGTGGATTTATGTTATTTTTGTGGTTTTCCTTTACCTTTACCTCAATAGAAGTTTCATTTAAATTTTCCCAATTTCAACCAATCTTTGATTTTCTTTGTCCTAATTTTATTTCTGTATTTAATTTCACTTTTCTTTTGTTTGCAATGTTTTGATTGATTGCTGGCTACCTTTACCTGTCAGGCCCATCACACTTTGTCAGCCGTCTGTCTCTGTTCTGACATTCTGCACATGTATTTGCAGTCGAAGACGAGCATCCGTCAACGCTCTCACCTAAAAAAAAGCAGCGCAACGGAGGGATGCGAAACTCGCCCAACTGCTCTCCCAAAATGATGAGGTAAGAGACCGTGATCTTATTCTCACCACAGCCTTCAAATGGATAGCGAGAGGAAGGGAAAGGCTGGAGACGTGTCTGAAAGATACTTCAGAGTGCTGCTGATGGTGTGATGGTGGGAGTTTGAATGGATGGGGAGGGGGCAAATTAGGATTGGCATCCGGGTGAGGCAGGAAACTTTGTGGAAGAAAAAGAGAGAGAGAGCGAAATGCCCTGTTAAGCTCTGGCTGTTTAGGATGCATGCTGTCAGCTGTTAATGACAGAGCTGAAATAATATTTCTGTCATGAAAAGCAGCTGTGAGGAGCTGTTTGAAAACTCCTCTGGCTTTAAAGTCCCAGCTGTCACCTCCTCCAGTCTGGTCCACATGTACTGCTTAAACAAGGCTGGCACTAATGACATCGGCAACCAATCAGAAAGAACTGCATGGTTACTTTGCCCTCAGGCTACTCCTCTATTGTGGGAGCCCTTGTGAGTACTGTTTCTGGCACTTAAGGCAATGTGCGAGACGTATCATCACAATCAAATATGAATTCAAATATTACCTTCCTTTTATCCTGTCCCACGGAATTAAACTGCTGTTAATTGATTTTGAAAGATAAAAGGGGTAGTTTATGCGCACCTCTGGCTGCGAGGCGGGGTTAGACACACATCAGCAGCTAGGAAACACGGAGGCCGAGCTGAGCCGATTAGGATGGCACAATAAAGACACGGTGATGGGAACAGAACAGGAAGCACCCTTTGCTTCACTTTATGTCTCGTTGTGAAAGTCGTATTTGTGACTTCACACTGCCAACTCTGAGTTATAATGAGTTTATTTTTTACTTTCCCTTAGAAGAAAGTACGTTTATTACAGAACGTTTGTAAGAATAAAATAAAATTGATGCAAAACCCACCTTTAGCATCCATTTGTGCTGCCATTTGGGTCTCTACTGCTTCTATAAACACCTAAAACGTGAAAAAATGTGTCCATCCGTTTATTTGTCAGAGAGTGGTTTTAAGAATTTTCTCTCTAAAACAAGCCGTTTCAAAAAGTCTGTGTTTGTGATGTTTGTGACAAACAGCAAAATAAGAATAGAATCACTTCTTACTTGTGAGAGACACAATGCTGGAGGAGCAATGCTGGAGGAGCAATGCTGGAGGAACAGCAGCTCTACTCCAGGCCCCTCCCAGATATCAGAGCTTCTCAGCTGATAGCAGCCTGAGCAGGGGATGGGTGGGCGTGGCCAGCTCCAGCTTTTCTTAAAGTGGCAGAGCCCTGAAACGGTTTATTGTGGAGATACTGTAAATGTAAAAAAAAATTTAATTAAAAAATTGTGCGAAGACCTTTGTGAACATGTTTAATATCGACCATGAAATTATTAAAACCTAATTCTTTGGTTCTTTTGAGTTTTCTGGCTTTCATTTATATAAACGCCAGCGTTTCTTATTGTGCTGTTTATGTGCTGCCTTTATATTCTAGCTGACTTCTTTGTGTCTTAGTTCTGCTGGGATCCCTTAGGCAGCGATGCTCCCTTTGCACTTGTGTGCCTGTGTGATTTTGTCCAGTATGCTCGTCTTCCTCCCCCTCAGTTCTCCACAAAACAAGGACTTAATAAGCCTTTACACTTGCCAAACCATTAGCTCAACACAGAGTCATACCCCTCAGTCTAGTTTGCAACAGAGCATCAGTTTAGATGCCCTTGCTCTGAGGGATGGAACCACTACAGAAACAGCCAGACACTGGCATATTTCCAGCTAACTGCTTGTTTAAAAGGGCTGTTTAGTTTGCCTAACTTAAAGCACAAATCCTTTTCTTCTTATCCGTCTCCGCTTAAGAGATGGTCCCTGTTTGCCATGTAATATATGCGTCTCCGCTTTGATCTCGCGGTGATAATAATTCTTGTTAGTTATTTGCTCAGTTTTGAAAACACTTCAAAGTGGTGTCAAAGTTTTCTCAGCTTTAGGGGGGCTTCTGTATACTGCTGGCTCTTGGGTACTGGGATGACAGGTCCTCTGTTAGAGGTGTAGATATATATTTTTCTTTTTGGAAGAATTAGCCTCTAGCAGAACATCACATTACCCATCGCAATCCACTGCCCCTCCCTTAGTTACACCGCTGCCCCTGTCAACATGTAACACCTTATATATTAAACATTTGCGCTTTACAAGCTGTATTTTATGCACAATGAAAAGTGATTGCTTGAGGTAGCCTTAGGGGAACTTTATTCTTCAATCAGGAAGGGGGAGAAACACAATAGAGAGCCGGCGAGAGAGCCAGCATACGTATCAAGTATGGTTTTTACAGGACTTGCAGCCTGAAGGTCTTTGTAAATAAATAATGATCAACAGATTGGCTGTGGGCTTTTGAAAAGCATGCCTTTGTCAGTTTGCGTGATGGGGAAAATTTTCAAAGCGAGAGGCTGCCTTCGGAGTCTGGCAGAGAGGGATTGGGGGAGCGCGCTCATCCCCAGCTTGTGACTGCAGAGTGATACACTGGAATAACTCAACTCTGTTTGAAATGTATGTAGAGGGAGAGAGTTGGAAAGAACAAGAGGGGTGAGGCACTGGAGTGAGATGCATTTATATACCACGAGGGAGATGCTACTTGTCATCCTCAAATGTGCCTCATGAAAAAAGCTGTTGGCACATGCAGGTGAAATGTGTGGTTTGCAGTTTCACTTTAGAAACATTTATTTTGTTCTTGTAATGTGCAGAAGTTGTGCTTATTGGAAAAATAAAGTGAATTTTTACAAATTGATAACTTAGCTGTGTTAGGGATAAATTAGCAGCTGCTGCTGACCCTATGCATCTCTACATGCTCTATGCTATGACCCTATGCTCACAGCAGCACGGCGCTGAGACGGGTCATGGCTGACACTGCACATCCGCTATCAGAGGATGTCACCGTATCATCGGCAGCTGATATCCCCTGGGCGTGGCCCTGTAGTGCAGACGTGATGTCTGCTTCTGTGAGCCTTGTGGTAGGTTCAGCCCGAGGCACGGAGGAGGAAGAGGAAGTAGGAGGGGGTGTGCGGAGCCTGTGACAGGCTGCCAGTCACATTGCTGACAGCTCTGTGAAAGATAGCTGTCTTGGCAGAGAGAGGTGGAGCGGCAGCCCGCCTGCATGCGCCAGTCAGCCCTGTGTGTGTGTGTGTGTGTGTGTGTGTGTGTGTGTGTGTGTGTGTGTGTGTGTGTGGAGGCGAGCGGAGCCGAGCAGAGCCGAGCAGATTGAAGTGACGGCGGGCTCCGTGGAGTTGATTGGCGCAACACGCGGCTCTGGATGAAAGATTCAGGCTGAGTGTAAAAACACTAAATGCTGTCAGTGTTATTATCACCTGCTCTAACTGATGGAGGGTAGAAGGGGAAGGAGCTCAGGAAAGAGAGGGTGGCTAATTGACAGCAGTTTTTTTTTCTCACTCTTACTTTTCCTGCGATGGCATGCAACCCAAATGCAGGTTGGGGGAAGAGACAACATCAAAGCTCTGTCAGTGAATGGCAGTGTTGATAGAGGATACAGAAAGTGATAGTGAGAGAGATGTATGTCAAATTTTTGAGCTGTTTTCTCCCATAATACTCACACGTCTGTCTCTGCAGCTCCCTGCTTCTGGAGCCTTCACTTGGCGCTACTTTATTTGGGTTGAATAATAAATACATTACCTTTGCATCTTGATTGCATTCAGAGGAAGTGTGAGGAGAGTGTGTGTTCCGAGTAATGAGACTGCTGTTTGGTGGTCAGTGTTACACTGGATTAAACTCAGCAGCCCACTGCTGTGGATTAGCCTGCTTGGTTGTGACATGCTGCTGAAACATTAATGGCCATCATTGGAGAGAGCAAAATGTGATTAGGCAAATTCCTGAAATATTTAGAATTTGAAACTGTCGGGGCTTTTTCTATGTGCTCCACATGGAGTCAGGAACTGGAAAATAGGATAAAAGCTGCTAATTGGCTTTGTGTTGTCTTGTCGTTTAGTCAGTACCGCTCAAGGCTTCCAGTTCCTCTTCATGGCAAAGTGAGCGAAAGGGCATTCGAGCTGTCTGATGTCTTGAAAGGAAGGATAAAAAGGAATTGGTGAATGATGTTTTAGTTATTAGGCCTCCTTGAATGAAAGGAGAAATAGAATGATGTTCTGATTTTCACAAAATGCAGTGATGTAACACAAGTTTGTCCCGTTTTCCAGCAGACACGACCCTCTTCTCATTCCTGGAAATGAACAAATTGAGAACATGGACATGAACGTGAAGAGGTATGACTCGACAGGGATGTTTCACTGGTGCCCTTCCAAAGACATCGAAAAAGTCATCCTGGTGAGTAGGGCTGCAATCCACACACATTAGCATGCATGCGCGCGCGCACACACACACACACACACACACACACACACACACACACACACACACACACACACACACACACACACACACACACACACACACACACACAATAATAATAATAAAACATTTTATTTGTAGCGCCTTTCAGGACTCTCAAGGTCGCTTTACAGAAATTGCATACTACAGATAAAACAGTCCTCAGCAAGTTAAAATTACAAATCAATCAATCAATTAAACAAATACAAGTTAAAAGTGAAAACCAGTAAGTGCTAAAATACTAGACTAAAGGTCAAAAATAAAAATATACACAAATACATCAAGTAATCAGTCAATATCACATTATCATAAAGATATACATTACCCAATAAAATCTACATAGTACAGCTGAATTACATACACAATCAACTAAAATCAAATTAGGCATTCAGAAAGGCCTGTCTAAACAAATGAATTTTCAGTAATGATTTGAACTGAGTGATAGACCTGGCCATACGGATGTCTAATGGAATGCTATTCCATAACCGCGGAGCCTGTGAGCTGAAAGACCTAAGGCCCATCGAGGATAGACGGACTAGAGGTGTAGCAAGTAAATAATGGGAAGTTGAACAAAGAGATCGTGATGGCGTGTACAAATTCAATAGGTCACGTAAATAACTAGGAGCCATGCTATTTAAAGTTTTGAATGTCAAGAGTAATATTTTGAAATAAATACAGTAGCATACTGGGAGCCAATGAAGCTCCTCAAGAATCGGAGTAATATGTTGAGAAAAAGGTGTCCGGGTAATTGTGCACGCTGCTGCATTCTGCACTAACTGAAGTTTGTGAAGAAGTTTCTGAGGTAAGCCCGTGAGTAAGGCATTACAATAATCCAAACGTGACAAAACCAGGGCATTTACAAGAATCTTAATGTCATTTATTGTCAAGGAAGAATGTAATTGACTGATGTTGCACAGATGAAAAAACGCAGACTTAACCAATCCATTTACATGGGTATTGAAGGAGAGAGTGTTATCCAAAGTAACACCCAAACTTTTAACATAGGCAGATGGTAAAATGGGAGTATTATCGATATTGAATGAGAAATTCAGAGATCTGGCAACATGTGATTTGGTTCCAACTGTGAGAAGTTCCGTTTTATTACCATTCAGTTTCAAGAGATTATGAGCAAATCAAGTCTGTATTTCACTTAAGCAGTTTGTTATAGCTATAATAGGTAATGACTGAACAGATGAAGAAGTGATGTATAATTGCGTATCATCTGCATAACAGTGGAAGTTCACATTGTACTTCCTAAAGATGTTTCCTAGTGGAAGAATATAGATGATAAATACAATTGGACCCAGAACTGAACCTTGTGGAATCCCACATGATACAGGCATGAGATGAGATTTATACGACATAACCTGAACAAAATGCGAGCGGTCAGAAAGGTACGATTTGAACCATGAGAGTGCTGTCCCACATACCCCAATGGTGGATAGGCGCTTTAGATGAATTTGATGCGATATTGTGTCAAACGCTGATGTCAAGTCTAAGAGCAGTAGTATGCTTACTAGACCAGAGTCAGATGCCATCATACGGTCATGAGTGACTTTAATTAGAGCAGTTTCTGTATTGTGGTTTTTTTCGGAACCCAGACTGTAGTTGTTCATACAGTTGATTTCCACTGAGGTGGTCTTGAAGTTGAGTAGCCACCACTTTCTCCAACGCTTTAGAGAGAAATGGCAGATTTTAAATAGGTCTGTAATTATTAAAAATCGGTTATAGACAGATTTGGTTTTTGAGAGTAGGTAAAATTATCGCAGACACACACCCCCATACACGCATGCACTCACATACTCGCACATGCATGCACACACACTTGCACGTGAACACACACACACACACACACACACACACACACACACACACACACACACACACGCACACGCACACACACAAGAAGCTAAACTTAAGTTAATTCGCCCAGGAGCCATCAATGCTGCAGTAAGGCAATCACAAACTAACTGTGTTGAAATTTCTTTCACTGCCTCTCCATTTTTTCCAGGTGAGTTTCTTTTATTTATTGTTTGCCAGATGCACGAAAAACCAGCTCTGATCTTGCAAGATGTAAATCTCAGTTAGAACAGATTAGCTGCCTTTTTTCCTAAAAAGAAAAACGTTGGCATGCAAAAGTATTTGATAATTACTTGACTAGACTTTTAGTTTCAGATCTAAAAGTCATTCCTTTGTTTTACTCTGGCATAAAAAAAATCTGCTTTTTATTGTGGATTTTCTTCTGGAGTTTTTTCTTTTCTTCATCTCTTTTCCCCTTTTTTCTGTTCATCGCTAGAACAAAAGTAACCTTAACAGTCATTTTGTCACATTCTGGCTAAAAAAACAAATTCTTGAGTTAAAAAAATCAAACATTTGATTTTATTTTTCCTTCTGCCATGTCCTTTAGCAGAATTTTTCCTCATTTATCCCTCTGCTCTTTTCCCATTTCCCGCTCCCCTCTCTTCCCCTGCAGACCCGGAGTGAAGCCTCCATGACTGTGCTCAGCGGCCATGTGGTGGTCTGTATATTTGGGGATGTCACGTCCGCTTTAGTGGGGCTGCGAAACTTGGTGATGCCTTTAAGAGCCAGCAATTTCCACTTCCATGAGCTAAAGCCTATCGTGTTTGTGGGCTCGCTGGACTACCTGCGGAGAGAGTGGGAAACTTTACACAACTTCCCCAAGGTCTCCATCTTACCTGTGAGTGATGCGGTACAGAAATGGTCTAAAAGTGGGTTATTTTGCTTTTTAAAGTAACACAAATGAAACCCTGAGTGATGTTGCTGTTTTGATTTGATCAGTCATTGTTGAGCTGAACCATCACTCCACCAGAGCTCAGTAACCCCCCCCCCCCCACCCCCCCACATCTTACTGATGACACATCCAGCGTATCCAGAGTGGAGTTTAGAAGTGGTGCAGCTGCAGTGCCCATCACGGATGGAGTGGCGTGGTGCCTTAGAGCTTGTTAGGCCGGGCTTGACTGATGATCAGAGGAGAATCCCAAACGCTGCCTTCAGCACCAGCTAGCCTTTATATTAGTCCACGTCTATGAATCTCTAATGCCTGCTTAGATCAGTGGAATGTCATTGCCTCAGAACAAGAATACTTGTTAACTAATTTCCCAAAGCTCTGCTGGGCTCACGTCTTAAATTTGTTTTTCTCTCCCCCATGTCTGTCTGTTCTCCGTGTTTTTCTTCCTCTCCCATGCTGCCTCGCTCCTTCTCTGTGCTCTCCGCACCCTGAAGGGTACACCATTAAGTCGGGCAGATTTAAGGGCTGTCAACATCAACCTCTGTGACATGTGCGTAATACTGTCAGCCAATCAGAACAATATCGAAGATGCCTCACTGCAGGATAAGGAATGCATCTTGGCATCACTCAACATCAAGTCTATGCAGTTTGATGACAGCATCGGGGTCTTACAGGCTAATTCCCAAGGTAAGAAGCGTCCTATTAGACTCCATGTACTGCTGCCCAAAGGGGACAGGTTGTGGCAGGGAGGGAAGACGGTAGTCAAGTCTGGAAAAGGAGGAGAGGAAAAGACTGGAGGCAGATGAGAAGGCCACACATGAGGCATAGATGTAAGGAAGCACAGGGAGTGTGCTTAATCAGAATTCTCTGCAAGTCTGTGGTTTGCTGCATTATCCATATGCTGCAGCTGCAGAGTGTTTTCTTCGTGATGTTTTCAGACGTTGTTGTGTCTGGTAATTAAATGCTGCTAAACCTCTTTGATAATACTTTTTAATATTGTAATCAACACGACTGTGTCATTTTAATGTCGTTCTCCCTGATATGGAGCCCTGGCAGATCGTCTGGAACAGATTGTTGATGTTTGCAGACAAACATATGAACCTGGCATCCCATCAGGCCTCATCATCATTAAGCAGCGAGTACAAATCACCAGGCAGGCCAATTCAGCTGCTTCTCATTAGTCACGACAAAACTGTGACACATTGGAAGCACATGCTTTTGTGCACTACTCCAACATGCGCGCGCGCGCGCACACACACACACACACACACACACACACACACACACACACACACACACACACGGGCATTTTGTCCCAATATGATCTTTGAGCCAAGATTTGCAAACTGGTAATCTTTTGTCTACGGCCACCTTGAAAAGCTCAGAGCTGTCTCTCACAAATGCTCAAGGTTCAATACAGCTTTATTTTTTATGCAGAGTGCTTCCACATGCTTAAGCAGAGTTCCCATGCTGTTGTTTTTCCAGTCCTAAGTGAGTAATACGCCATCGGTAGCAGTGCCACCAAGGAACAATAAGCTTGGGTAAATCTCACCGCACACCACTCTGGGGAGCAGCACTTTCAGAGAGCCACCTCAGCACCGAAGCTTATTGGTCTACATCCTCTGCCCGGATCGATACTCGAAGCCGAGGGTTATCAATAATTGGGTCTTACACGAACTAGCCATTTAAGAAAACACACATTTGCAGCAACATGCAATCATGCATACAAAAGAAACGCACCAACATACCCCAGATGCTGCTATTGTTTAGGGATTCTTTCCTTCTGGCATCGCTCCTATTCAGAAGCTATCTGTGGAATTTGGAAGGTGCAAATGAATAAGTAAACACGTGCTTTCCTAGGGGAGAGCTTCTCACGGCTGCTGTAGCATGTAGGCAACCACAGAGCATAGCTGTGCCGCGGGGCTACAAGGATAAGGAGGTATGTAACCCAGATCTGGCTTGTCTAGTTTACACTGCAGCTGAAAACACACCGTTTTACTGCCTCTCAGCAGAAACAGCAAGGCAATAGAGAGCATCTGTGTAATCAAGCAGCGTTTAAGAAAATAAAACTAATGTAATTCCATTTTTAAGATTTAGAAAAGCAGAAATGTTGTTTTTTGAAAGTTTGCTGTGCATTAGGATGTTCCTTTTCATACCAGAGGTGTGGTTTTTTCATTTATCAATATTTTAATATGTAAATCATTCATATTAAGACTAAATTCTTGAATGAACTCAAGAGAACCTCACAGCATAAAAAGAAGAATCGATTAAATAAAATAAAATCCTGTTCTCTGTTTGGAGCTTTAACCTGAGGTGTTCGGAAGCAGACCTCATGTAGTCAGAGGTTGTTCTCGCTGCACCGTCTTCCTGTTTACTTTGATGCAAAAAGGGAACGTTCAAGAAGCAAAATCCAAAAAGTTCCCGTCACTCTCCATGGACATGGACAACACGCTTCTTTGCTCCATTTGAGCTTTCGCTGTTTCCTGTTTTGTCCTAAGCCATCGTCTCCATGGCAAAAAGCTGAAAGATCGTCTTTGTAATGTCAGCAGCTCATTGAGATTTTTGACAAGAGAAGGTGCACACACACACACACACACACACACACACACACACACACACACACACACACACACACACACTGCAATCGAAGAATTTGCAATCCTTTTAAAACTTTGTGACCCGAATATATCCCCTCCATTACGTTTCCCTGGTCGTGGCACTAGAAGCTGACGTTTTGCTGTAGTCAGCACTAAGTGATGGATGTCAAAACACAGACGATGCATTATGCATATAGCATTACAGATTTAAGGTGTTTACTTGTCACTTTGAGAAAATGCAAAAATGTGAAGTCATGTGAATTCATACTCCTGTCATTTGCGCTTGTATTTCATGGTTCTGTGCCGCACCATAAAAGGTTTTCAGGATACACTTTGCCAGTTTTATCGTAACAAAATGAACAGCATCTAAAATTTATGTCTGCCTTTGATGGAGGGATGTAAATGCTAAACTTGTCTGAGTTGACCCCTAAAAGCACAGTAACTGGATTTCAATTTTTAGCCAGATGCCCTGTTCACTTAGCCCTTTTTTTTTTCTGAATCCAGACTCTTGGATAGTTCGGATCTGAGCACAGTGTAAATAAAAATGTAGATTTTTGTTTTAGTCCTCTCGTGCTTTTGTAACTTTTGTTGTAAATCACACTCAAAAGACGTGCACGTTTTTGCCTCGCAGTGCAGTAAAAGTCGTTACGGAGCAAAAACCCAGTAACTTAATGTAGAGAAATGGACTTTTAGTGCAGGATCACTGCAATGTCTGAAACATTTCTGTAAAAAATGTTCCTATAAAACATCTCATTTGGCTATTTTTTCATTTACTGTGAATCAGAAATTATAAATGAAGTGTCAATTAACCGCAATAGGGAATTCCTCCAAACGTTACACTATAAAAGTAACAAAGCAATGTTTTTCAGCTATTATCATTCTGTATTTTTGCATTATGTTGAATAGAACCACCCAAATTTAATTTCAGTTAAAAAAAACTGATATTTTAAGGTTTGAGTTGATTTTAAGTTAACTAGTTCCAGAGAAAATCTAAACGTTTGGTGGTAAATAAAATTTTTGTGATAATATAAAAAAAACACCATGCAACGATAGTGTTTTTTGACAATGTTAATTTTATGTACTTAGCACTCTACAAACTATTGAAATATATCACCAAATGTCATGCAAGTGTACAGGTGAAACTGGAAAAATTAGAATATGGTGCAAAAGTCCATTTAGTCATAAGCTGTAAGCCATAATCATCACATTTTTAACAACTGAAGGCTTGATATATCTGGCTTTGCTTCTAATGAGTCTATCTTATGTATTAGTCTCACATTTTAAGTTGAATTACTGACATAAATTAACTTTTTCACCATATAAATTTTTTTTGAGCTTCAGTGTATTTTTTTTAGATAGAAATTTTCAAATGTCTCACACTTTAAGATTTTACAAATTTATTTAGTCACTTGTACGCAAGGAAGTTTGTCTCTAATACTGGTGAGGACCATATACACAACATGGGTGTGGCTTAAAGACAGCTGGGGACAATTATTTTTAATTATTTATATACAAGTATTTGTTTGTTTGATGTTTAATTACATTATGCACTGCAGTGTATTGACAGGTGTTTAAAATCTGAGCTTTATTCAGTAAATAAAAGACTAGATTGATCCAACAAATCACAGATTACAAGACAGGCGCCTAACCTCTCAGCAGCACCTAAGCTTTTGATTTTAACAAAATTAAAAAAGACTGTTGCCGTCTCCCAGTAGGACCGTCTGAGAGAAACAGTGGAACTGATAACAGATATCACTGTGCTGTAGGTTTATGTTTATTTATTTAGCAGATGCTTTTATCCAAAGCGACTTACAATTTATAACCTATAGGGCATGTTCTGATCTGTGGGGGAAACCGGAGTACCCAGAGGAAACCCACGCATGCATGGGGAGAACACACAACTCCACGCAGAAAGGCTGCAGCCGAGTTTCGACCTTCGTGCTGCGAGGCAACAGTGCTAACCACTGCGCCACCATGCAGCCCAGTAGGTGACAATAACAAATGACCAGTTTCATCATGTTTGATATTAGAGATACTTTGCAGTTTTGCTTGCCTTTAGCGCCCCCTAGTGTTCGTTAGTCTAAGAAAAAGTGAAACTTATCTCCTCGCTGCGTGTTTGTCTTTTTAACACCTTAATCCAGGGGTGTCAAACTCAAACTCACACGGGGCCAAGATGAAAATCTGGGACGAAGTCACGGGCCAAACTTAATATTTTTTGAAAAAGTGACGGTAAATTTGCACATTTTCTTTATCAACATATATGCAATTTTGAACCTTTAAATTTGGAAACAAACTTATTTCTGCATTAACACTGAATGTGGAATAACCAAATTACACACGAGCAAGTCAGTTACAAATAAAAGGCATCAGTGGTATTCATTACTTGTGCTATATTCAGCATTTTTAAATCTATTCAGGATTTATTTTTTCTTGTTGTTTATTCATCTTTATTATTTTTTATTCTCCTTTTTTCCTCCTGTAATAAGTGTCATCGCTGCTGTGACGTCTAGCTTTCCCCACTGAGGAACGATAAAGGGATTTTCTATTCTATTCATCTATCTGCAGCCTTTCCTGTTTACTGTAGGTTAAATCTTTTCTCACGGGCCAACAACAAAATAAAAATATAATTTTATCTATAATGAAAATGCAACATCTCACCTGTTAACTTTCATGTTTTGGAGCAGAAAAAGAGGATAAAACCAACATATTTAACGCTCAGTTTGCTCCACTGGTTTACTGTGATGCTCACCTGTTCCAGCCAGATACCTGCATCATGGGTTTGAGCTCTGAGCTGAGGAGGAGACTCCTGTTGTTTTGTTCATCTTCATCATAATAATGACAACATTAGATGACAACAGGTGCTCACATAGGTTTGTGCTGCTGAACATGTCTGAGCAGCTTGACCACGTTGTTGTGTGTCGGGGAGGAAACACAACGACAGCAACCACAGAGTCATGCTGGTTTGAGCGTGCCGCTGCTCGCTGGAGTTATATCAGCTCTGTCTGGAAGTTAGTTGGAAAACTTTCTCTTTCAGTCGTGAACACATCACTGAGCGGTTAAAATCTCCGTTTCTGGGCTTCAACGTCAGAAAATAGCTGAGTAAACTCGGCGCTGAGTGAGAGGAGTGTTTAGTTTGGCCGAGACAGCGGAGCTGCAGACACCGGCAGCAGACGCTGGAAAAAACACAAAGGATGGGGCGCTTCGGCTCAGTGCTAACGCCACAAAGCATCATGGGAGTTGTAGTCTTTGCGGTAAAATTGGGCAGCAGCTCAGTTTTAATATAATTTTTATGTTTATCTCGCGGGCCACGTAAAAATGCTCCGCGGGCCTTATGTCTCACACATGTGCCTTACCCCGGGTTTCCACGGAAGCCGTCAGCAGCACGTTACTGCAGCAGCACGTCTTGCTCGCGTAAACTGCTGCTTGGCCCTTCCCACGAGACGTGAAGCAGCAGGGGAGCAGCTGTCACCGACCGAGCACGAAGTCACACGAGTGACTTCGTCAGTAAACACAACAACAAGCAGGAGAAAACTACTGGTTTGTGTTTTATGTTCTGTCCGTTTTATAATCGCCAATACGGACCTGAAAAACAAAGGAGACCGCTAGCTAGGTGATAACTTCTCACGGGGCCGCACAGTTAGTAACTTTTTTTTTAAAGTAAAGCAACCGGAAGGCAGTACGTTCTTTATTCTGAAAATCTCGGGAGCTTCTCTCCATTTCCGCGTCCGATTTCCTGTCTTTCCTTCCCCAAAAGTTCCTTCGAACTTGACCCGTTTCAGAGGCGTCGCGCGTAGAAAATAGAACCGGCGCGTAAAGGCCGCGACATGCTGCTCCTGAGACGCGGCCGACTCGCGCTGCTGACGGCTGCTGACGGCTCCGGTGGAAAAGGTTCTGTTGACCACAGCGGTTCCTATCAGCAGCTATGACGTGCTGCTGCAGTAACGTGCTGCTGACGGCTCCCGTGGAAAGCCGGGGTCAATCTAACAGCTGAAATATCTCCTCAACATTAATTAGTGTCTACAGGAGGGATTCATCACTGAAGTAAACATATCAGCTGTGTTCATGCAGGACCGTCCAGCACCAGGCATGTCAGCTCCACTTTTATTTAGTCAAACAGGGACCGGACCAGCACTCTGAAGTTGCAAGTGCAGTGGGAGTCTGAGTGACATTTCATTAACCCTAAAGGGTCATTTTAGCACAAAGTAGCTCAAGAAAATGATTTAAGAATATGAAAAAGTTGCATAGTAACCTATTAACCTAAGCTAAAGCGCTAGCTAGTGCTTATGATTCAGCATGCTGATGACTGATTGGATGGAACAGATTTCCCACTCTTTCTTAAAAGTTGAAAATTTCCAGTTTATTTATACTCAAAGTGAATTTATCATTGATCAAATGAAATATAGACTTACATGTATCAAAGAAAAGCTGACTATAGTTTTGAAGTTTACAGTAAATAAGCGACACCGTGACTGAAACAGGTAGTGGAGTCTGTTTAAGAGTGCAGTAAGAGACTTCTCATTCACAAGTGGTGGGGACGGAACTTCTCATTATTGACAGTGGTGGCGACATGTCTCCGGCGTCCCCGCTTAAAATGATATCTATGCTAGTATGTGTTTTCTTGATGTGTTCAGGTTTCACCCCTCCTGGAATGGACAGGTCATCTCCAGACAGCAGTCCAGTACATGGCTTTGTGCGCCAGGCGTCCGTTACCACCGGATCCAACATCCCCATTATCACCGAATTAGGTAAAACTGTTTCCACCCACCCCAGCATGCCACGTCCAGTTTCATCCATCAGTTTCATTCTCGGACCCATTGATAAATGTAACAGATAAAATCTGATTTCATTCAGCTACCTGAACTTCACACTCACTCAGCAGAAAATGGACTAACACATGCCTGGTGTGATGTTTATTTTGTTTGTTTATTTTATTTTGTTTTTGTTCACTTTCAGTATGCTGGTAGTTCTGGCCAGCTTGAGTTCTTCTCTGCGATGCCAGATCTGATCGGTTGTTGTCAAGTGATGAATCAATTTGAGGATGTCAGACAGGCACTTTTAGGACAAAAGCTCCATCTTCTACAATTTTTCCCCTAATGGACAAGAGAAATTCAGCCTGATGGAAAGGGTGAGAGAGGGAGAAAAGGTAGAAGGAGAAGAAAAAAAAGTGCCTTGGTTGCAAAATAGGTCCATTTATTAATAACAATGCCACTGGTTGTATTCCCAATGGTGATGGGGACTCATGAAACTTTCAGATCTCCGAGGGGCCTTGTAAAGCACCAGAGACCAGCTACTTTGTCTCCCCTGACCCAATTAGGGAGCAATGGAGCATGAGGCCAAGCTAAGAAAAGGCCAGGAAGAAAAAGCAGCTACCTAATGTTAGTTCTACCCAGACCAGCCATTAACTGAATGAAGGCTCTCCCATTACGCCGCTGACCACATATATAATCGTCAACACCAGATAGTCTGCTGGAGTCATTGTCCTGAGCTCCTACACTAGCAGCTCCAGTGTTGTGCCTTTGCATGCTTGCTGCTAGCCAATTTCAGAGAGCAGCTACACTAGATGCGATAACATTGTCCCCAGGAAAAGGAATGAGGAGGAGCGTACGGAGGAGAGAGTGGCTGCATGTCACACCGCGACCATATACCATAATTATAATGTCATATGTTCAGGCTGCAGTGCCAGGAGCAGGCTGCAGTGGAGATGAGATGTAAAAAAAAAAACCTCCTCACCTGAGCTGCATGGTTGAATGGTTTTTTCACTGAGCGTGAAGTTGTTTTGTTTATGGATAAGACATTGTTTATCCCTTGCACTATGTCCCCAAATGATGTATTGTGGTTCTAATTGGTTAGCACTGCAACATGGCTGCACCTTAATCCAGAATGCTTTACTTTGAGACGCCGGACAACCATGAAGGCTTCAGAGCGAACCCGGAGTCGACTCGAGTATTCTAAAGCAGCAAATGCCTTTGGGAGTGTTTCAATAACAACGCCATTTCTCCCCCTCTCTGCACTGTCTCGCCACCATTAGCTAAACCTGGCAAACTACTGCCATTGGTTCCACTCAGTCAGGAAAATAAAAGTGGAACCAACATACAAATGATAACAGAGCTGGGTAAGCCAAGCCTTTGTCCTCTGCTGCCGTCGGTTCCCTCGCTCCGCTGCGCTGCTGCTCATCAGCTTGTCTTGATTTATCTGGCTGTAGTCAAGGCCCTCGCCGCTCCCATGGCTTCACTTTGAACACATTTTTATTCTTCATTCTGGTTGAAATGGTCTGTCTTGTTTTGGCTCTTTTGTTAAGGATTCTTTTTTTTTTGTTTTATTTCTTAACATTTGCAGAGCCCCACCAGGCCTTTGATCATGCTCAGTCTGTCCTTGTGGCTGTTTTCACAGCAGCACCCTCCTCGGCGCCTCACCTCCCCTCGCTTTTCCCTTCAACAACACTCAGACACCCCTCCTGCTACTCCACCCCTACATTCACTCGTTTGGCCGAGGCCCGCTTGCATCATCCCCTTTCTCTCCTTGATGGACATTTCTCTTCTAAAGGAAGCGAGTAAAGAAAATAGCTGAAAATGAAAAATAAAATGTACTTTTATTCTACAAAATATTTTTCCATTGTCATTTTTTGTGGCCATTGCACAGGTCAAATACTTTTGTTGTTTTCCTTTTGGTAACAAAGTATCCATGCCTGCTCGAAATCTGCTCCAAGAAGAAGTATTTAACATTTTGCTTCATGTGTGAGCTATTATTCAGTGTGACGTGGTGCATTTAGCAGAACATTTTGTTAATCTGAGTAATAAAACTGTTATCTGGCTTGACTTTGATTTTCAGCACACAGGTAAAAATCTACATTTCTCTTACAGTGATGATGTGCAGAAACATTCATGAGGAAAAGCTCTGGGGAGATAAAGCATGACTTTTAAGTGCATGAAGTGAGATAGTAGCCATTTTTGAAGTCTAATAGCTGCAGTTTATTCATTTGACCCACAAAATTATTTTTATTTTCAAAAATAACATTTATTTTATTGTAGTATTTGTAATGTATTTGTTTCTTTGTAAACATGGGGAGCCTCAGTGGCTACTGAGGCTATAAAACAGGGACTTCTGCAATGGTTACTGTTTTGTGTGCATAATGTGCTCTGAAGAAAATGTTCCTGAAGCTGTGTGAAACACATCCTGCATGTTGTATACAGAACATTAACTATAATGTTCTTGCTTAATTTAAAATGTTTAAAAACAGATAAAAAATAGTATATTTATTGCATTTTGCCTGCATTGGTCATTCAAGCTAACTAAAATGTGTCAATTATATGAAGAAAAAAGAAGAAGCTTGTTTTAAAAATTAAGTGGAATTCAAAAACTTATCTTACATCTAAGGTTAGCCTGAACACATCAGCAACCTTATATTCTTTTTACACGACCAAAGAGTTTGAAGATAAATAATTTAAAAAAAAGGCAGTTCCCTAACTCTCAGGTGTGTGTGTGTTTTCACCAGTGCTGCCTTCACATTGGCCCTCTGTAACTCTGCTGCTTTTCCCCTTTTAGTGAACGACTCCAATGTTCAGTTCCTGGACCAAGACGATGATGACGACCCAGACACAGAGCTGTACCTCACTCAACCCTTCGCCTGCGGCACCGCCTTTGCTGTCAGTGTACTCGACTCCCTGATGAGTGCGGTGAGGTTTTAAACACTCTGCAACTCTGTTTTTACAAGAAAAATCCCACCGTTTCACCTAGAAGAACATAAGTTACAGATTTTTTGTTTTTGGTTGTAATCAAAGTTTTCTTTCATTTGGAGAACCACTATCTGATGGATGGCTGCTTTTTTCCCTTTGGTGGTGTGATGGCTTAATTCCTGCAGTCCTCTAGTTGAATGAGAGGTTAGAGGGGCATGCAGTGCTGAGCTGCGCAGGGAGTAGAGCAGGCGTCAGCTGTAGTCTGGCGCTGGTCAGAGGTGAAGCTAGCTAATGGACATTGCTCATCCATCATGAAGGTCTGCAGGCCTGTCAGAGGCCCAGAGAGAGCTGCTGCCACTCCGGCACGGCTGCCGAGTGACATCGGCTGTCTTCACACATAGAAAAATCAAGTCCCGAACAGCTTGAAGGACAAGAGATTGTGACACCCAGACAGCGTATAAAATCTTTGTCTCAGAAGGAAATGACGGATATACTGGTGGAGTGGAAATAATTGAGCTTGTTCATGTATTTATGCTTAGACTAATAAGAATAATGAAACAAAATACAATTGGCTATGAATGACCCTATCAATTCTAATGAGAGAAACATTTGTTAAAAAAGATAACGTAAAGCGTTTATCTAAAATCACAACTGTGATGACTTGCTGAATGTAAGAAATAAACTAACTGTCTAACATGCAAAGATTAATACACAAGGACAAACATAACTGTAGTTGAAAAAAAAATCCACTTCGTTGTGGATGGCAGTTCAGGGCAATTTCTGCAACGAGTCCTTATAACCAGCGTCAAGGGCGTCAGTTTGTTTTCAGAGTTGCTGGGGACAATAACCATACACTTGAGTGGGGTTTAAAAATTGCTGGGGACAATAAAGTAGGCTAGCACAGGGGTCGGCACCCCGCGGCTCTGGAGCCGCATGCGGCTCTTCCATCCATCTGATGCGGCTCTCTGCATGTAAAATAATGAATGGATATTTAAATAAAATGCTTTATATTTTACTGCATTAATTTTACATCTGTATGCAAATTCTAAATGTAAAGATTGTCTGCGTAAACCTGAACAGGTCCAACCCGGTCTTACTGTGAGACCGGGTTGGCGCGTCACGCTTGTGCGTAATCATATAGGCGCTTCTGAGCTGAAGAGGATGTGAGATTCTGGGATTCTCCTCAGACGGCTCCTGGATGTGTCGCCACATTGGAGACAGGAACAAGCGCTATTCAGCCAAAGTTTCATCATCAGGGAACATTTTCTAAGTGACAAGTCTCTCTGAGAGACAGGGTTTGGAAAACACTCGCTTCAGTGGGAGGAACCTTCCACATGCGCTCTGGTTCTCTGGGTGGCTCTGGGGTTAATCAAGTTTAATTGTTTCTCGTTGCAACAATCTTCACAGGAAGGCAAAACAGTTAAACGGCAGGTTACAGATATTTCCATTTGACTGTTTATTTTGACAGATGAACTCAAGGATGTTGCTTGGTTTGAAAGAATTACCTCGACGCATACTGATGCGCATGGATGAGCTGACATTTTAATCGTTAACGCACATCGCGGAGGTAAAATATTCCCATCAGAACATCAGAGCTTTATACTGGACACTGTGTTCAGCGCGGCTCGGAGCGCCCACGGTGGACAGTGAGCTGAAGATCTGGGGTTCGCAGCGCAGTGCAGAACGGCGCATGCGATAAGATTTCCTCCCACTGAAGCGGTCTGGAAACCCGGTCTCTCTGAGGGATTTGTCACTTGGAAAAATGTTCTTTTTATGAAATTATGAAACTTTGGCTGAACAGCGCTTGTTCCCGTCTCTAATATGGAGACGCATGACGCATCCAGTCTGAGGCAGGATAGCAGCTCAGAAAGCACCTGTAGAGACATTTGATCACGCACAAAGTTTATGTGGAGCAGAAGCGGTCGGGCCACGGCAGGTGAAACGTTCCTAGCCTACATGAAGTGTAACTGTTTAATTGTAACATTAATATGTTACTGGACAAGCTGGTGTGGTTGGTTAGACCAGTGTTTGAGGTGGAAAACACACACACACACACACACACACACACACACACACACACACACACACACACACACACACACCAATTAAATAATGCTGATAGCGTGGACTAGAAGACAGGTGATGGTTTACGTGTTTAAATGATGATCAGACTGCTGTAAAATGTAATCTCCATCCACATCCAGACACAATTATCCTCTATTCTTTCTCTATTTGCTCTGCTCTTGTCTGGGCCGATCGCGACGCGCCTAACTAGCGGCTGATGCACAGTTTACGCATTTGGAGAGGTGGGCTGGATGCTTTGCGTTTACTGGAAGTTGGTCCACTTAACGCACAGTTGTAGACTAAATATTAATGACAAATGAATGAAAATTAAATTGTGAGTTTTTACTTCATATTTTATAAATAAAAATGACGGGGGAACACATTTATGACGTCTTTTTAAACGAAATTTTCTAGCGCGACCTGCCTGCTTCACTTAAGTCGCTGCTTATTAAGGTCCGTCCAAAATTACCGTGGGAAACGGGTAATAATGGCTCTTTGATGGGAACAGGTTGCCGACCCCTGGTATAAGATCTGAGCTGGTAAAACAAAAATCCTCATCAGCAGGCGTTTTTGAAAGTGGGGGGGACACAGCTGCCAATCACAAATTTTGCCGGGGACATGTCCCCGGCGTCCCCGGTTAAAATGACGCCTATGACCAGCGTACCAGAATGAAGGAGCAGCCAGAAGCAAATGTTAGAAAGATCCAGAAAGTTGGGAGTAAGAAGAGCAGTAACGGAATAAAGCCAGGTTCACACGTGAAGATTTAAAGACAAAACTAAGCCCCACCCCACCCCACCCCCCAAAAAACAAGAATTTAAGAAAAACAGGCATCTATATTTAATAGGAAACCTATAAAAAGCTTTTGTTTTACCAGTGAGGAGTTTGGCTGCAGAGTTTTGTTCAACATGCTCACAGGCCAGCAAACACAAACACAAATACAGAGAACAGAAATAATCTAACTTGGAGGTGATGAAAGCTGTTGTAACTTTCTTCATAGCATTAGAAACAAGAAAGAACTGTAACGTTCCTTGCAGCTGGGGAAGGTACGGGAACGTCATTAAGAAGACCAGGAGAAGGATTTGAAGTTTGAACAGCTACACAGTAGTTCCCTCTTTCCTTATGGAAGGAGCTGACAGCCACGCCTCATAACATCCACAGAAATGACATAGTAGCGCTAATGGCGGGCTGCTGCGGCTGCATGTTTTTGATATGTCTCTGCTCAGATATACCTGTTTCTAACTTCTAAATTATCTCCTCAGTTTCCATCGGGTTCGACAGGAGCTGCTAATCACTTGTTTTAATTAAATCAGCTGTGTTCAAGCGGGGTAAACACCTAAAAGCTGCGCTCGCGATCATCGCTAACGCTACAGCGGGCTAAAACAATAGTCCGATGTAACGAAGAGGTGCCAACTCACACACTTTGAGCGTGAGACTCACTCATCTGACTCCCTTCACATGGTCTCATGCTACACCCCCGCTTTCACAGGCAACGCCATCATCAGACCAGTGCCAGACTACAGCTGTCCACGAACAGCGAAGGAACACAACACAAATGTGCACTAACCTTAATTCAATGCGAGTCTAGTTAGCATTCATGCAAAGTTGGTGTGCTAAGCTGACTGTGGGTGTTTCTCAATGCTAAGGAACCTTGCCTTGATGTCTTGGTCCTGCCCCAGTTGCCTAGGAGATATGTCATCAGGAGCCACCAACCACTTGTTCCAATGTTCATGTTCTACCGAGATGTCTTTTTTCTGTTTGTTAGCCGTTTAGCTAGCTGAGCAAGGAAACACGGGAGGTGCCTTTTAGCCTAGCCTTGGTCAGAAATTTCCCAGAATACACAGCGGCAATTTCAAAAGGATGGAGGATCAGGGGCCGGCAGCTACTTTGTGGACAAATTTAGAGTTTAAATGTAAATCAACTAATTGTTGCAATCGGTCTGATATCTAAATGTTTTTTTTATATCCAATTTAATTATCTATGTTTGGTTAGTTGCTTAGTAGTTGCAGCTTCGGTGGCTAGCGGGTAGTAACTCACCTATATTTACTTTAACTAAATATACACAATTTCAAAAGTAAAAGGCTCGTTATGCATTTATATTCATATTGAAACTTATAACGTTACCTCCCGTGTCACATGACATTACGTGGCCGCTGTGGAAGCCGTGGTCCCATGATGCAAGTCTGTTCCATTTAACCATTTTCTTTGACCAAGGAAGGACAGTGTTCTCGTAAGCAAGGCGCCTGGCCTTCCAAGATTTTGCCTTGTGAGGCCAGGCGCCTTTGAGAAACACCCTGTGTGTCACTGCATCACCCTGCATTGCATGCTGGGAACTGGGGCTCATTCTCATTAATTGACAGCTGTGTCTTGTGGATACATAGCTCTGTTGGTCAACATAAGCTTGTGTAAATGATTACTTTGCTGTAGAGGCTTGAGGAGGGACTATAGGGAAGTATAAATGATGGACAGGGTCAGAAAGTCACATTTTAAGTTGACTTTCGGACACACAGCTTTAGGTGAAAATGTCCAATAACGATTAGAGTATTCCCAACCTAAATTACAAGACTTTAAACCTTTATGGGGTATTGGCAATAAGTATATGTACCAGCAAAGTATAGATCTGGAAATGATATGATCTACTTGCTGCTGTTAGGAAAACAACTTGGTGAGGACAGTGATGTGTAGCTGTTTGGGACTACAGCTAGAAAAAGATTTGAAAATGATTGTTCTCGCTGGAAGAGAGATTGATTTATTATTTTTTAATGAAATTATGGTTCAATAAAAATCTCCCAACTGCCATTTCTGCCTTGTATAGGTTAAAAGTACTAAAACACCAAATCTAACTTGTCTTTTTCCCCACTGAGATTTAGGATTAGGGTTGAACATCTGCTCTTTTTACCCCTCCTCTACACTTCTCTGTTTGTGACTCTATGATTTCTAACACAAGTGTCCTCTGTGTTCTCCTCAGACGTACTTCAACGACAACATCCTAACACTCATTCGGACACTAGTCACAGGGGGAGCCACGCCCGAGTTGGAAGGCCTGTTGGCCGAGGAGAACGCGCTCAGAGGCGGCTACAGCACGCCACAGACGCTGGCAAACAGAGACAGGTGTCGTGTTGCCCAACTAGCCCTCTACGACGGCCCGTTTGCTGACTTGGGCGTAAGTGGATGTCTAAGTGAGGATGACAGATTTTGGCAGCCATGTGCATCTGGCTGCCTCTGCTTGTGGCTTTCCTTAATCCAACGTAAAGAATGGCAATTACGTAAAGCAGGTCTTAGTGGGTGGAAAACACTTTGAAGTAGGACAATTACATCAGCAAAGGAAACACCTTTTTGGTGCTATTGTTTTACACAAGTTCCAATAAAGGAGCGTTTTCCCTAGAAACCCTTCTGACATCCAGTTTACACAGTTTTACATAAACGTATTTTCACTAGCGGTAAGGGGTTTATCAGAAGGATCTAACACGTCTTTCTTCCATCAGGATGGTGGCTGCTATGGAGATTTATTCTGTAAAGCCCTGAAGACGTACAACATGTTGTGTTTTGGAATCTACAGACTACGAGATGCTCATCTCAGTACACCAAGCCAGTGCACAAAACGGTACACCACCAGCCTTACGCTAATTCCGTTCTATCACATCGTAAAATGAAAAGTGTGTTGAGGTTTGATCCTTCTTTTTGTACGTTTTGTGACCAGATACGTAATCACGAATCCTCCGTACGAGTTCGAGCTGGTTCCCACCGACCTGATCTTCTGTCTCATGCAGTTTGACCACAATGCCGGCCAGTCACGGACAAGCTTATCCCACTCCTCCCATTCCTCCCATTCCTCTAGCAAAAAGAGCTCCTCTGTGCACTCTGTACCCCCCTCCAACCGGCAGAACCGCAGCAGTAAGACCAGGGAGGCCCGCGACAAACAGAAGTACGTGCACTTCCATGTTGTGTGTGGTATTAGTCTGCATGTTTGTTTTTTTTAACCTGTATTTAGGCGTGTGAGTCTGTGTGCAGACTGTGATGACACGTGCTTTTGGTGATTGTTGTGTATTGTGTGGTTTGTGTTCTCTGTTCATGCCTGGTTTTATTTATTCGTTTGATTTTCATAATCCTCTGCATGTGGATTTCACTCCAACATCACAGCGATCATTGTAGGATAAATTCGCCATGTGATTAGCCAGGCTTATTAATCAAACTGGATTTCATTATGAATTAATTGAGTTTGTTGTCGGAACTAGCTCAGTGTTAAAACGTAACCGCAACACACATGTACTGTAGTCTGTTGTTTGGTCTTCTTGTTCTCTCTGTGTTATTGTGTAGTTGTTTCATGTGTAATTCTGTGAAGTAGTGCTTTGTTGGGTATTTGTGCTCATGATCAGTGCCTACAGATCATGGACTTACTGTATTGTGGGTTTCATTGGTAGTAAAATGATTAAGACAGTATGTTAATGGTAGTTTTGTGTGTCTGTTCTACTTGTTTGCATGTTCTTGTTAAGCAGCCACTAATTTCCTGTTGTATTTTATGATGCAGTTACAAGATGTTTAAAACTGGACACAATTGTGGATTTTTGTCTCGTATCTGCCACCTGATTTGGGAGACTGATGTAATCGTGACATATCCTCAAAAGCATGCAGATTAGTTATTTCTGAAACCGTAGACGATACGCTTTAAATACATCTTAAAACTAAGATGTTTTATATCGTCAAACTTCTGTAGTGACAATTTACGTTAAAATAGACTGGTAGACCTTTTGTCAGTTGTGTATTGACTATAAATACTACTTACTTACAGTAGATTACTTACTCTCTTTTTGAAGTGCAACAAGGATGAATAGAATGAGCCAAGGTATGCAAGTTAACGATTCTGCATGACTTAGCAACTATTTCTGGGGTTCTGATCATAACTATGTCCCCTGTGGATATTGTTATGACAGGGGGAGTTTGTTTTATTTATTGTCTTTCAGATTTTAAGTAAACCATGCCTCAGTTTAAGCTTTGCTTTCATGTGGAAAGCAAAATGTCTGCTGCTGCTCTTCCCTCCTACTTGCCATGATCAGGCTCATCTCCACGTTGCATGAGGCTGAGACAAAAACCCCACTTTTTTTGTGCATTCCCTTAATATCTGAGTTGTCTTTACCTCTGAAATGATATTTTTCCACATTCTTTCTTTCCATTATTTATCATGCCTTTTTTATTATATAATTTACTTGAACTTGAGATGGTTTGCATTGTGTGAGAGGTCTGTGTGTTTGTGCATTTTCCCTCCTGTTGAATGCTTTCAGACGACTGTAGCAGACTTTTAACTTGTGCTCCCATTGAGTACAGAAGACCATTATTTTACTAGCGCCTGTAAAAAGCACTAAGCAACAACAAGTTTTCCAAGTGTGCAAACCCACATTCTTACTCACATGTAGGTCAGGATCATTCAAATCCTCCTGATGCAGCCGAACTGCTTCTTCACAGAACTTTTAAGTAAAGTGTGTCCAGTCCTGTGCCATCGGTCACGCTGAGGAAGTGGGAGGTGTGACCAATTTAAAGTTTATATTAAAGGGGGATATGAGCCTGTAAGTCCCCTCCTTGTAACCCTGTACACTTGATATGATGGTTAGAGGCGACATCACTAGGTTCACCATATCAGCAGCAGACTCCGGAGAGAGATGGCAGACATCTTGCTTCACCTCAGGCACAATTCTACACATCAAATGTCTGTGCTTTAGCACACAGCCCTGCAGCCTTGAGCTTGCTGACACACACACACACACACGCGCGCGCGCACACACACACACACACACACACACACAAAGGAATTTCCAGGCTTGTGAGTCCTCGTGCATCTCATACATGCATACACACACACAGACAAGGTTTGCTTCACCTAGTAAAGTAAAAGTTTGATATTACAACTTCAGTCAAAAAATGGCAGTGGCAGATGTGTGAGGAGAGAGTTTATAAATTTCTGACAGCTGGCATTCACCCTTCCCTCTCCTCAGAAACAGTGCTCTCGCAGCCTTCTTAAACACGGAGATATTCTTTCTATAATGACACCTCCGATGCTGTCAGATCTCATTCCTGCTCTCACGCTGACAGCGAGCACGTCAAAGTAAAATATGAAATAAGACTGTGTGGAATATTGTGCACACTGGATAATATAACTCAATAAACTAGATTACCTACAGTGTTAGGTTTCAGAGATGATAGGTCAAGGGAAAGATAAACGTTGCTATGGTTTGATTTTTTTTTTCAACAAACAGCGGAACAGATGCGGTTCCGCTGAGCCCAAGATTCATTGAGTCCGATCAGAGCATTCATATCAACTTCGGTGCCACGTGGAGCTGGATGTAGAGCTCCGGAAAAGTTCGGCATGGTTTCTGTTTATTTTTTCGGATGCCGCATGCGGATCGTCATGAAGTGAGACGTCTGCCAGTGAGGTGCATCCTGTTTATTTCAAACTAAAACCCCTGTCGCATTATTTTTTCCTGGGTTTTCTTTTATTATAAATGACAAGAATATCAGTCCACGTTGTTTTTACAGTTATATTTTCAAAGGTATTATGTCAAATTCGTAATTACTTGGTGATATCTGGAGACATCCAGAACAAAAACCATAGTCAGTGTGAATGACGGTCTGTCCAGAAGTGGTGTGGAAACCATACCTCCTCCTTACCACAGTCTGCAGGCTTAACAGACATTAAAGACGCATCAGCTGCAGGGTTTAAATGTTTTGCATAAATTGCTAATAAACCAACTAACAGTTATTAGGGTGTGTATAGGCAGGAATCTGGTAGCGTTAAGCTTGGTTTATGCTTGACGCATTCACTTTCCGCTTGGTGATGTGGCTCACGGATGGAACGCGCTTCACAACTTGCAGCGTTTATGGTTCATGCGGCTTGTCTCTGCGGTGAGCCAATATTCTCCCAAACTGAACGGGGCAGCATGGAGCTCTACGGCATGCATCCAACACTAAACTGTAGTAGAAGTAAAAATTACTGTTGTTTACAACATGGCATTCCAGCATTTTTAACAGCGTCCTCGTCTTTTCCGACAGTGCGAGCTATTTCTCTCCAAGAATTATTAACATGTTGATCACGGTGATCTCTGAGAGCTGAATCATACAAATGTCTGTATTTACGAACCTCTGCCATACTAGTTCTTGCCAGTCCGCCATTTTTTTCCGCGCCCGACCGTCCGCGTGGTTAGAAAATTTCCTAGGTGCGCGGTGCGGAAAGTTTGGGCCGTGCGGAGGCACGGTGGAGGGGCGTGGTTGTTAAAATGACGCAATTTTGCCGCGCGGAGCCATGCGAACCTCGCGGACGCTTCAAGCATAAACCAACCTTTAGGGTTATATATCACGGTACAGGGGACTCAGTACAATATATTTGATACTAAAAGCCAGATGTTACCATTTTATGAATGAATGAGTTTTGTTGGAAAACTCAGACCAGACACAACCAGTGTTATGGCGAGGTCTCATTGTTCCATCAGAAAGACGGTAGTAAAAACTGCTGCCACCTAGCAGTCGGAGTTAGAACTGCACCACATGAACGAATTACAATAACAGTTTGCATGTAAATTCTCAAAAAATAAATACACTGCTTTTAAATATCAATTCAGAATCATAACACCAAATATCTCAATGTTCCAGGATCGACATTGTCTTACATTCCTAGTGACAGTACACAAATATTTTACTGGCAACCTTAAGCATCCACAAAGTTAGCCCAACTCCATTAATGACAGTGACATGCAGGATAAAATAGAGCAAACTGGGAATGTTTAGGTGTTGCAGACTAGATTTGATTTAGAATATTTATTCAGAATATTTATGACATTCATCTCATTCTACCCAAGGCAAACTGGGTTCTGGTGCGCTTGCGTCATTGGACTGTCTTACATCTTCAGTCAGGCTGCTTAACATAAGTTGTTAAATAGTCTTCATGTTTATATAAACTATTCTTTTGGTTGAAAGAGGGTAAATTAAAAGCATGTAAAACGTTTCTGAATGCATCAAAAGGAATTGTTTAGGTTTTATTTAGGGATGTTCCCATCACATTTTTCTGCCCCCGATCCGAGACATTTGATTTTGAGTATCTGCTGAAACTGAGTAACGATCCGATACTTCAACAATGCATTAAAAGACAAAGAAAAGAGAACAGATCCTGGTCGCCCTTTAAATTTGACTTTTTTTGTTATTATTTATACATTTCTTTCTTCTTCTATTTGTCATTTCCTTAGTTTATCTGCCAAAAAACATCACTTATTTAGCCAACATATTAAAAAAAGCCTTGTTCATATTTCAAGTAGTTTACTTCCTCAATATGCAGCTGTATTGAGCGATGCACGTTCCCATGACGGGGCAGACATGGCAGGCTCACAACTACCTACAACTACCACGGTTGCAAAACCCAGCATCTTTCAGTATCAGCTAGCTCCGTGTTTTTGTCCGAGTTGCCGCGGTGAACTAGGAGTATTAGTGGTGGACTAAAACATTTTTCACTTCAAAAGTGGTCTGGACTCCATACAGCTTCTATAAAGACCAAATATCCCTATGGTGTTGTTTTCGTCCAGGAAACAACACATATGGATGCATAGAAACTTGTTGAAATCATAACTAAGACATTGTTATTCCATTTGAAAACCTCTGATTCTGGATGATTTTAAGGGGTAATCTTTGTTGTTTTATAAAATTAAATCACATCATTCCAACTGATTCCAGTCATTTAAAAATCGGGTGGGATCATCCCTAGTTCTGTTATTTTATGTAGATTTTGGTGTCGGAGATGCATGACTAAAACCTAAAAATCTGATTCTATTACACATCAAACATATTTTATTTAACATTATTCTTAAGAGGAAAATGATCCCAGTTTGGGAATTCTAAAAAAAAGACAGTTTAATTGGGAGTGTACAGTGCTACCATGGCAACTTTTAATTGGTTTTTAACTTCATTGCACCAGAGCCCAGATCTCCCAGTTTGAGAAGAATCTCAAAAATGTCACACAACAAACTCACTTAAACTGAGGCAGTATGGTTGTCATTAACCCTATGTCACAAACATTTTCAAGCTAACTCATTGTTTTTCTCTGTCTTTCTTGCCCTGCTTTCTTTAGAAAAGAAATGGTTTACAGATGAACCAGAAAATGCCTATCCAAGGAACATTCAGATCAAGCCCATGAGCACTCACATGGCCAACCAAGTCAACCAATACAAATCCACTAGCAGCCTGATTCCACCAATCAGAGAAGTTGAAGATGAATGCTGAACACAGAGTTTTCTTGCTGACTCACCAGACACCTGTGCTGTCTGCCTAGAGAGACGAGCAGAGGTCACCAGTGGAGAAGTGACGATGATATCGACAAGGATGATGAAGACTGACACATTTTCTTTTCACTCATTCTTCCAATCAAAGGGTTGGTTGGAAACCTGAACTGGAAGGGACCTTCTGTGTGTATACGCTACTTCCATGCTTTGGACATTGTTTAATTTATAAATCTGTCCATAGAGATGTACATAATGACAATCAAAACAACAAAAAAGGATTGTACAGCCCCTTCCCTTAGCACTTTTTGGAATTGTTTTAAGAGTTGAGAAAAAAAAAGAAAGAAAAGTACTTCCTGTTATTCTTTGCAATAGTTCACCTCTTCATGAGACCAGACTCCACGGGTAATGCAGCTGGTTAATTGGAACACGGGGTTGCAGCGATGACCTGACCACATCATCTCCCAAAGATCCACCCAGATGTGTCACACAAAATCCAGCTGGGAATATCAACACCGTATCTCTTGTCAGCTTCTGTTCTATTTGCACTAAAACTGAAAAATGGTTTCTTTTGGCAGAACTGGAAACATCTACCCCCGATAAAGTCTTTTTGGAGAAATTACGGAGGGATGGATCGGAACAAGGAGGGGATCCTTGGTTGTTTTTGGTTGCTGTTAATCATGTCACTGCTCAAGGTTTTCTAACTTAACACGCCACACCGGTTTGAGTACGAGCATTCCAGGAAACAAAGTTACCTTGCAGAGATTTCATGTAATAATTCAGAGAATAGTGCAATGTAGGTTCATGCTTCCACAAAAGCTACACGTCTTCTGCCGGTATGTCGCACACTAAGGCTAAGACTCAATTCTAACCCTGCATGAAATGTGCCTGAGCCCTTTTTACAACACACACTGCAAAGTGTGGTTAATTGGCTTGAATATGTGGTGAAGATGAAAAACAACTTGTCCAGTCCGTCAGAGTAAATGTACACGCAATGTGTGTAAGTTTGTGCATCTCAGTCACTTTTGCCTCTTGTGTTGCACTTATCACTGTAACCTGGTTTGTATGTGCTGGTGCAGCTTGGACGGAGCAGCATGCGGGGTCTTAGTACTAAAAAACAAAGTTGTGGTAGAAACAAACACTAATCTAGAGTACTAAGGATTTGGATCTGCTAACAACTCAGTTGCATTCAAATGAAACCAAAATCTCCAACTATGACTGAGCATGTCTAACATGAACACCCTGAACACGCCGCCATTGTCTCTGGTGGCAGAACCAGGCTCACAAAGAGTTCTCAGTGTTTTGTGTTTAACCCCAAGTTCCGATTGTGATAAAGGGAATGCCACATATCGCGTAAAGTGGGCATGAATGGGTCCTCCTCTGATCGGAGAAACTGCCTGGCACAGGGTTGGCACAGAGGCCGATGAGAGCTTGGATGTTCTCTGTTGCCAATCCAGACGTCATGCGCCTCGAAACTCTTAGGAGTTAAAACCGTGTTCAGTTTCCAATCATGAAGAAATGCTCAAACATAGTTGACAGCAATGCAATAAAGCCACAGACTGTGATTAAGAAACACTGAAGCTGTTCTTTATGCTTGCTTGTGTGCAACATGAGTGCTTTTTGCACATGTTGTGGCACCCTTAGATCCAAATCTAGCACTGATAAACATCAAACTAATCTGTGGTAGGATTTATATATTTAAACATTATTTTATATCCATGAACATAATCAATTTATACTTATTTTTCTAATGAAGAAATTAGTCTAGAAGAAAACAACATATCAAATCTTTTTTTTTGTGTGTGTGTGTTCAAATAAATCCCTATTTATTTCAAAATATATTAAAACAAACGATTATTTTTTTATTCCCCTTTTGCGGCTGCATCACCCTAGAGCGTATGAAGCTCAGACTAGCTTGCGTTGTGGGACCACCATCCTCGTCCTGCTAGCTCGGCTAAAAGCGCTAGTAGGTAGGAACTTGGGCCTCGCGTCAAGCCTTGATTAGTTGCACAGGACATTGTAAACTACCAGCTGTGAAGGTTTCTATGGAACGGTGGAGGAATGGTGCATTTTTGGGTGAATATCATATCTATCTGGTGAACAGAGCATAATTATAATAATGATAATGATAAAAATGAATGATAATGACCTAAATGTTATCAAGTTGCTCCCACTGTGTGCAGGCCAGAACCAACTGACCTTCATTAGATGTGTCTGACCTAAATTAGGTCTCTAGTAACAGGAGTATGTGTACACCACGGCACAGTGTGCTGGTGTTTTTTCACAGAAAAACATAATTATTAATAAAAACAGATTATCATGATTTGGAGTCACTGTCTACACAATAAAAGAAAAGTAATTAATTATAGAAAACCATTTTGGAATATGGAAACAATGTTATTGTGCTAAATATGTTTGTGTACCCGTTACAGACCACATCTCCTTCTCACAATGATCTGAGCTTTAATGTCCGTCTATAGGCTGTGCTGCAAATATAACAGAGCTTCATACACATTGTCTTGAAGTGAACTTTGAACTGTGATTACATCGTTGTCACACACACTGTAACAGATAGCTTTCCTTTTAAAATGTGGGTAAAATGATTTTTTTATAATTGGATTGTTTATGGCAATCACTTGCTGTCCTGAATAAGAAACTTATCATTTGACTGTGACAATGATTATGGGCAGAATTGACAAACTGATTAGATGAAAAAACAAAAAATGATCTTAAAAATAAAAGATCTTGGATTTTTGTAAGAATAAATTATAAATACTTAACAGGAAAATGTCAGATCTGAGATATAGAAGATAGCACCAATTCAGCAACTGTTAAAAAAAATAACAGAACCTCTTTAGTTTTCCTACAACTTTGTTATACATTCCATTTTGTCGACTTATTTGTCAGAGAATGTCACAACTGGTTCTTATTTGTTTACAAAGTACCTGCAAAGCACACAGACAGAACTGGTCCGCTATCAGAGGAAATGCTTCAAACTGGCAGCACACACACATTACATCATTTGTTTAAAATATATTTTATAATTGCATTTTCTACCTTAACTCTCATTGGGTCAGTCACTTGGGCTGAGACAATGACCTCTCTCATTCCCACACCTGTTGAATTGTCCAATGGTTTTAGGTATTTTGTGCACCTCAAATATTTTTTTTAAGTGCCATGAAGCGTTCAAGTTGAACTAGCATCCTTCAGTCATTCAGGGATACATTCAGGAGTCCAAGTGTTTTCCACTGTGAGAAGAGTGTCTTGTACTGGCATGGAGAACATCCAAGCCAAATATGCCTCCATGCTAGTTAAGTGCCAGGCAGTGCAGTAGGTCAAGAGGAGGACCCAGATCTAAGTCCCACTATGGCGACAAGTGGCATTCAACATGTCTGAGGTATCTGCTGGGGTGCAGATAGATGCTAACCCCCATATCGTTTCTGTTGTGAGCTCGATTGGAGTCCTGTGGTGGATTGAGATATGGATGACTGAAAGATGCAAATAGAGGCCCACTCCTGTAACACCGCATCTGTTCTTTCCACTGGGAAACAAAAATCAAAGAATACGAGTCATATGCTGTTACAGTATGCTGCATTATGGTTGTACCCATGCTCCCTGTAAAGGCTAGCTATAATAATTGGGACTAGTAATAATTAACACTTATGGGAAATAGAGGAGGGTCTCTAGTCTTAATATCACATCAAAAATTGCATTCAGCTATTTTGTTGAGGAAATATATGTGTTTTTGCTGCCAATCAGTTCGAGAAGATAACAGGATTTTATTCTTAGTTATCGCAAATAGATTTTGTTGGCATATTGTCATTAAAGCAAACAGGAGTTTGACATCACATTCTAATTAGCTTGGACATGTTTTAGATAAAAATGGATTATTTGATGGTGCTGAGTTGATCTACCTGACACTGTCAAATATATTCTGCTGATAAATATACTGTCTTGTACAAAAAGTTTGTACATAGATTGTACATGGTTTCTTTTTGTATTTTCTCAAATTAAAATGGATGTATTTGTGTTCTAAACTTTGAAAGACTGTTTTTTCTTGCAAAAATAAAGGTTCTTCGGTATCAGCAGGTTGCAGGCTGAAGCACGTGTCTGCTTGTATTAGCCATGTAGGACTTTTCTTGTTGCTACGATTACTGAAAACATAAGATCCAACTTCAGAAAAAGAGTAATTTACTATTTAATTCATTTGTTTAAATTGTTTGTAATTATGTTTTCTTACATGATCACATTGCTTTAAACATATGCATGAGCAGTTAATCTGTGTATAGCACAGTGCAAAAAATGATGTCAAGTAAGAATAATTTCTGAAACGTGAATTCACATTATCATTGGACCTTTGAAGAATTTAAAAAACAAGGTGAGCCAACAATCAAATCCAAGTCACTACTTGTTACGACTGCCGTGAAAACAGCATCAGTTCTTACATGTGTGCAAAGTTACAGATTGCATAGGTTTATTGTCAATTCTACCATTAGCTAAAGTGGTAATTATCTTTTATATGTGTGGGTTGTATTTGAGGCTTAACCTCTGATTCACTTCAGTTAAATTCAGGCTGCAGAAAACTGTTAGGTGTTGCAAGCCAGATACTGTGGTGAGACTAAGCACAGCAGCAAGACTGCCCCACCAGGTCAGGTAAAGACTTAAGTAGGCGTGTGTTTCCGTTCCATTGAGTGAAATGGTCTGGGTCAGAGTGATCTGTTGTGGGCCGGTGTGGACTGGTAAGAGTCAGAGATTTCAAGGCAGATTTTCTATTGCCAGTTTGATGCTTACTAGGCAGGCGGGGTTAAACCTAACGTGTACCATCCTGTATCGCCAACAATAGTGAGAAAAGCCAACCAAACTTTGCTACTACTTTCTGGCATCTTCTCACGCTTGTGTACTAAAAATGATACAAACAAACAGCATTCTGCTGTTTTATTTTTTGTTATTTTTTTTATGCTTGTCACAGGAGTGACTTTTTCTGTTCTCTGATCTGTGTTGCGTGAAGCCACCCTCTCCACCCTAGTCCAGTGGACCAACAACTGGAGTAGTTCCATGAACGGCGTGGTCCGGGTCAGTTGTACGGCCTGCTTTTACAACAGAAACAATAAAATAATAGAAGCCCGGCCCACTTCAGCCTGTGCTGAACCCTTCCATGGAACTGTTGCATTAAGTTTTGAGATTAAACATTGTCAAAGACAATAGAAGTTATAGTCAGCCAAATAAAATTGTGATTACTTTCTTTCAAAATTAAAAGATAGAAGAACCACCAGCTCTGAAATAACAGAAACCTGTCCGGCCTAGGTTTATCCTTGTACAGTTCCAAGCACCTTGTTCAGAGGTCATCTTCATCGAAGAAATCTAGCTTAAGAGACCAAGCTGGTTCAAAAATAAAGGTATCTAGAGCCAACTTGAACTAATACTTTTACTTGAGTTAAAAATTGAAGCATCAGGCGGCCGTTTTTCACAGAAAGCCAAATGGTGGACGAGATTCAGCACAATGGATGTTCACATTCAGGGCACAGGAATCCAGGTTCTAGAACAAGGTTAGTGGACTTTACTTCACTCAAAGAGGTACTCGATTCAAACAGAAAAATGCAGTGACAATTTTCAAATCTTTAGAGATCTTTGTTAATACAAGCTAGGAGTTTTAATATATTCTGAAATTGTAGCACATAAAAAACACACAAAAAATAACACAAAATGTAAGCAACATCCAAAACACTTGTGGAAAAAGCACCCATCACTACGTCTGCTGCAGAGTACGTTTCTCAGGTGGTAATCAACACTTTCTTGTACTGTGTAAGAATAATCAAGTCAAATCAATTGTACCTACGTAGCACATTTTCGCACCGGCAACGAATACAAAGCAGATTGTAATACAACAGTAAAAGCAATAAAACAATAAATAAATACAAAAACTATGTGGACAATCATGGACCATCACCCTCCTGAAGAGCTGTGCCAAAAGCCAGGGTATAAACGTAAGTTTTTTGTTGACTGTTAACAGATTGCAAATATAGTTTGTCTCACAGCTAACAGCAGCTGTGTTGGAGCCATCATGGAGAACGCCATGTCCCCTTTTGGTTTACGCATGGTCCAGGGAACATGTAGCAATTCCTGTCCCACTAAGCCAAGCGCCCAAGACAGTGTATCTGTTGTCATGAAAGGAAAAGCGTCGCTATGCAGAGCCTTGTAGACATGGGATAACATTTTAAACTTAGCCCGGTTACAGACCAGCAGCCAATGCAAGGCCGCCAGCACAGAAGTGACATGCTCCCATTCCTTTGTCCTCAGTAAAAACCTCGCCACCACATTTTTGCAGCCTTGCAATAGAATACTGGGCCTCTCCAACATACAGGGAGTTACAATAATCCAGCCTAGGCTCGGTAAAAGCAGTGGAAGTCACAAAACAAATTAAAATTGATTGATTTATTGATTGGTTCATGATTGATTGATTGATTGATTGATTGATTGATTGATTGATTGATTGATTGATTTGCTCATCTACCTTGAGAGCTCCATTGAGTCTCACCACAACATCAGTAACAGATTTCTCATACAGCGCTAACAAAGCTAGGTCATAGCAGTGGCTCATCACACTTCTCTCACAAGAAGGGGCTAGCTTTATTGTGTTGTACTGCTAATTTGTTTAGGTGTGTTTGTGTACTAGTGAGTGTAAAGCTGAATTCTTTGAGGATTCATCAGGATTGTTTGAACCTGTTATCCAAATAAATACAAACAGATTCAAAACCAACAGCTAGGCCTTTGATTGGTCTTAAACCAGCAGAACAATGAACACAGTTCCATATTAAAAATTCAGCATGACAAAAAGGGACAGAATTGCATGTAGAAAATTTAGGGTGCATTTTCACTCAAAGTGACAATGTGTATTTTTCTTACCTTTAATCTATACAAAAATCTGTCTAAATGTTGTTGAAAATGAATGATGTCCAGTCATTGGAAAATATCAGTGGCTTTGTAATATATAACCATTAGAAATCAGACCTGAAATACAAAGGGCGGGTACAAGTCTCTGGGGACGCCGTATTAGTTGCCATGTTTTACATGAGCCAGCTCTGGGTCCTTTGCCTTCCGATGACATCACACCACATTCGTAAAAGTTATGTTAGCACATTGGCACCTAAGATTTTGATTGGTCCAGACAAATTTGCAACTGTAGTTCTTGTGGTTGTAGTCCTGTAGTAAAAAAACAAACAAAAAAAAACATTTTTGGAGAAATTGTATTTATATTGCCAAGGAAATATAAAATAAAAGCAAAAATATCAGTTGATCAACGGAGACCCTGAGCAGCTCTTATTTTGATGAAATGGGAAAAATGTAAAAGTACTTTATTGAACAAATAAACAACATTTTGAAAAACTGAATTTATTTACATAAGAACTAATGCAACATACAGCATTCCCCATTTATAGAATAGACTTTATTGATCCAACATTGAGGAAATTCAACAGTTACAGCAGCACAAACACTTAAGAGAATAATTTGAACAAAAATAAAAACAAAGGTACATGTATATACACATAGGCAGTAAGCTAGCATTGTAACCTTCGACCGCTAAAAACCACAAATAAAAATTAAGAACTTCTAGAACTATGCAGCAAATGTTCCACAAAAATAAACAACGAATGATGAACAAGAGTCTGCTTCTAGACCTGAAGCAGGAGAAAAAAAAAGAAAAGGGACACACAACAATACAACCGGAACAAACTACCACTGTGTCAACCTGATGAGGAAATATAAAATCAACATTGTTTTATGGAACAATCACGATAATAAATCACTGTGCATTTAGTGCCAACGACAGCCGACATGTTGAACGTGCCCAAGTCCATACTTATGAGAGCACCATGTGAGCACCTGTGTGTGTACACGCGCTTGTTTATGTAAGGTTTCTCTATAGGAGCGTCCAATAGAGAGTGTGAGGGGCCACAGATCTGCCCCCCAAAGATGTGTAGGAGATGGAAGGAGCTCCAATTCTCAGAGATCCGGGAGCTGCCCCAGAATGCAGGGACCCCAGGGAGACTGTGGCCAGAAAAGCCCCTGCCTCCCTCGAGAGGTGCAGAGGATTGCTCCGGGGGGCCACAACCAGCAGCCGGCAGAGTCCCCGGAGATATCAGCGGCAAGCCCACAGGCCCGCCTGCAGCCTTCCACCTCCAAGCTGGCCAAGCCCAGAACCCAGCGATCCGGGACCCAGGGGTGACCAGCCCCGCCGGGGACCCAACAGAGCCCAGGGGCTCAGATCCCACCAGGCAGCCACCGGGATTAATCAGGCAGACGCCAAATATCTTAAACCCCCTGACCCGGGAGCCGCGAACACTCAGGCAGACCAAGGCACCACACTCCACACCTAGTGTGGCAGTGGGAGGGGAGGCAAAGATGTAAAGCAGCAAAAGAAGTTCCAGGAGAGGGGAGGACTCAAGGCCCCGCCTGACATATACAATCACGCACAAACACAGTCATACACTCCCTCCCTCATGCTCACACACACACATACAACCTAAGACGTACAAAAATGCATGCCGGACACCCACTCATGCTCGCCATACACACCCTATTCACTCTGGTCCCGGTACTGCTGCACAAAGGGGACAACCATCACCGGTTCCCAGAGTTTGACCATTTCTGCTAGGGTGCTGATGAGCAGGCTCCACCGCCCAACGCCGAGCAAAGCGGCCCCAGACCCCAGCCAGATGGCCAGATCCCCCTCCTAGCCTCCAGCACCGGGAAGCCAAGCGACAACAGAGGTGTGCTAAGATCCTTAGTCACCCTTCGCCTGCTCCAATACCGTGTTGGTGCGTGTTGATGAGGTGTATTTGTGGCTGTGGTGGCGTAATGTATTTTTTAACTAGCAAAAGTCATGGCGCTATGCCAGGAAACTAAACACTGAAACTTTAATGCATTACCATAACAAAAGTAAAAACATTCAAACTCCTCCAACTTCTAGACTCTTGAAGATATACATACAGCATAAGCAGTTTTAGTGACCTTGTTGTTCAAATGGCTCCACCGGCAT